ATTAGACTGACTGGTTTTTGACTAATTTTGAGTTTAAAAAAGAATGAATGTGGAAACTCCAAAAATTAACTCAAAAAGTCCCCAAAACCCCCCAAAAAATAAATAAACCTTTCAAATTCATAATCACTGGATAAACAAATAGACACATTTTCCATTTCCAAAAGATTTAAAAGTTGTTTTAATATCTTCAAATGATTTTCTGTTCGTTTCTACAAAATTATTTGAATTTAAAAAAAATTAAAAAAAAACCTTCAAATCCTGCCATGGACATTTTAATTTATCAAGAAAAGCATCCAAATCAGAAATTAAAATTGTACATTGAAAACCTTTTTGACAAAGAATTTTCAATTGAACAAGAGAATAAATATGTGCTAAAGTAAAATTTCCTTTTGGTGAACATCTCCACAAAATTTTTAAAGGACATGATTGCTCTACTGATGAATCCATGTTAAATATTAAAGAAGATTGAGTAATAGTTTTTGACGGAATAAACTTTAAAAAAGTGAAAAGTGTTTGAGAAAAATGCTTGAGAAAAAAATCCGCAAACTTTTTCAGGTAAATTTAAAATTAAAAATACATAAAACTCAGAATTTTACGAAGACTAAAAAAATATGAAAATAAAATTAGCAGGAAAGGAGACGGGGGTTTGAACAAAAAAGTTGACAAATATTTATTTCAGCTAAGGTGAAAATTAAACAATCCCCATCAACCTAAGTTTATATTAAACAAAAGCAAAAAATTGCGGACAAAAAATCAATAAAATATTTAAAAAACCTCAAATTTATCACCAAAAGTACCAAAATCAGAAATAATTTTTTCTTCCATTTTATTTACACAAAGTTTACTAAAATCATCATTATTAACAAAGACCTTCGGGTAAGCTTTAGAAAGTATTTCTTTAAATTCTGGAGAATTAAAACAATTTTCTTGTACTTAAAAGAATTCAATTAATTAAAAAAATTAATTTTTAACAAAAAACCTTTTGCAAGAATTCCATTCAAAAATTGTTTAAGATAATTTTTTAGTTCATCTTCTTTAATTAATTCTTCTTTAAATGCTTTTTGAAGACTCGGAAAATCACAAAATTGTTGGTTATTCATTATAATACTCTAAAAAATAATTTTTTCTCAATTTAAAATACTCAACAAACCTCTCCAATAATTGGAAAAACAACATGCTGATAAAATGCTAGAACACCATTGTCAATACCAGATTCAATTGATGGACAATTTGCTGAATCAATTTTTGTACTAACAACATCAGGATCATCAAGTAAATCTATTTTTGAATATTCTTCAGAACTTTAAAAAAATAAAAATTGTATGAAGTATAAAATTAAAAAAACCTGCTCATTTTTGAGCCTGTCAAGCCCGGAACCATTGGATTCATCAAATGAAAACGTTTCCCTAATTTAATTCTTGGTAATTGTTCCTCAGCCAAAATAAATATTTTCCTTTGATCCAATCCTCCAAATTGTCCATCAACTTTTAAATATTGTTCATCTAATGCCTGAAGTAAAGGGTACAAAATGCCACTAAGCAAAGGATCATCCATTTGTTTTATAACTTCAGCGCCAGCCCTAACTGCATCTCGAAGGCTAACTAAAGAGGATAACCGTAACAAGTCTTTTGTGTAAGGCCTGAAAAGAATAAGGAGAAAAATGGGTACTTTGTTTAAATCCTGCACCTCTCCCCATTTGAGGTTTTACCTTTATTGACAGTCATTTAATTAACTCGAAAATAAGTGAAAGTTATGTTAATTGAGCAAAAATTAGGAAGAAAAAATAGACGGCAAGGGCAAAAATCAACACTTATAAAAAGGAAAAATGACCATTTCGAGACAGAAAATTAAATAAAATAAATTTGACTCAAATAAGGATAGGGGCGGGTTCGATATTAAATAAGAACATAGAAAATTAAAAAAAACTAACTCAGACAATTGATAAGATTGACCACGTACAAAATGTAACTTTTCTAAAGGAACATTTAAAGCGGTCATTAAAGCTTTAATCACATATTCATAATAAAGTAAACGATTCTCCAACAATTCAAAATTACTTTTTAAATTATCGAGAGATGCATGAAGATCAGCAAAAAGAATAGTGACCTTAAAATACATAATTAATTATGTGAATAAATAACCATGGAAGGAATCGAACCTCGTATAAAAAAGTGAAAGACAAAAGTGCTAATCATTATAACACCACGACATTGAGTTGGATAGATCCTCAATTTCATAGGTTTAAGTGTTCAAAAAAATTGAGGGAAAACTTTCAATTGCTTAAAAGCTGGCCCATAAGTGGAATTAAAAAAAATTTTTCACAAGTTTTCAGAAAAATTTCAAAAAATTCTTTTCACCTACCCTAATATCAGCTCTCAAAAAATCAGCAATCTTTTGAATTGGTACAAAATAGCCAACATGTGGCCTTCCTGTTGTTGCAGTTCCCCAATAAATATGTATATTTTTCCCTGTTATTATTTGTTTAACCAATTTATCCTCCCCCAAAATTTCTTGTAAATTTCTTGTTATTAGGTATTTTCGTTCCTTTTGTTTTTCATTTAATTCTTCTTGCTTATCTTCATTTTTTTGTTTAATATTATTATTTTTGTTGCTGTTGTTGATTTCTTCCTCCATTTTTTAAATTTAACTTTTTTAAACTGAAGGGGAAAACTAAATTTAGGGTTGTTGGCGACCGGTTATTAACCGGTAACCACGGTATTCGGTTATCAACGGTTTACGCCCCCCGGTTTTTCGGTTAACCGAAAAACCGGTCGGTTTAGGCCACCGGTTTTCGGTTATCACCGGTATTTGACCCCGCAGTTTTCGGTTTCTGGCCAAAACACCGGGTTTCGGTTTTGCTTCAATTAACCGACCGCCAACAACCCTTTCAAAACAAAAAAAGTGTTAAATTGATTTTTTCTTTTTGTAAAATTTCTTAAGAAATGACTAATCCAAGAAAATGTCAAATTCAAACCCCAGCCCCTCTCCCTTCTACTCCCACTCGCAAAAAACCATTGGCCTTGAAAGAAATTGAGAGGAAACTGGGACCTGAAAATGTGTCTGGGAGGCACCGCCCCATAACGGGAAATTCACATTTTTTCAACTTTTTTATGGGACTCTCCAAAATCCGTGCCTACTTCTAATTTTTGTAAAATAAAAATTAAAAAATATTTTTTTTTCGGTTAAAAAATAACCAATAAAATTATTTTTAATAAAAATAACCAATAAATTTTTTAAATTTTAATAAAAATTTCTTTTAAATAAATTACTAGTAAATAAAAATAAAATATTTTTTTAAATAGAATCTTCCCTTATACTTCTTCTCCTTTTGTTTTTCACTTCAGAATTTATTGAAAGCTTTCTTGTTCTATGATGTTTATAATGATGAGATTTGTCTTCTTCTTCATTGTCATCCCTTCCTTCTGGACTAGAAACAACTATATCTATCACAGATTTTAATGTTCCAGAAATTGGACAAATATTATTAGTAGATTCATCTTTCTTAAAAATAAAATTATTTTATTAAGTGTAAGTATGGATTTTTCAAAAACCGAAAGTTTAAAAATCTTTTTGTAATATGACCGAAAGGCCTTCAGAATTAAAATCTATCAAGGATTCTGTTCTCCTGAGGGTCCCATTTTTTACAGTCAAAAAACTTTTTTACGGACTTTTCCACAATTCCTCATTGGACTTTTATTTAAATATTATGATACATCTTTAAAAAATTTTCAATTTTAAAAAGGAACTGATAGAGGAGATCGTCAGATTTTTATTACACGAATTTGTCCAAGAAAAAATAAGGGGGAAAGTTCGTAAAAAACTCCCTATGTAATTTTCGGACAACAAAATTTTTTGCGGACTCGGCCAATTTCTCCAGGGATGGTCTCTTCAACTTAATATCAATATATTTCGAATACCCTCAAATGAAAAACTTAAACAAACCTTTTTACTAATATCATTGCTACAACTAGTTTCATTCGTTGTCGTTGTACAAAAATATTCACTTTTTGCCAACAAATCAATTCTTTCATTTAAAATAATAAAATCTTTATTCATTTTCTTCAAAAAATCATAAACTTCGCTAGTTAAATTTTTATATATTTCATGTTCAGAATTTGTAATTTCTTTATTAATAAAATCACTAGAAATTGCATGCTCCAATCTTTCATAACGCCTTTGAAGCAATTCATAAGACATAAAACGTGAAGATGAAGTTGACTTGAAAATTAGTTTTTAAATTAAAAAGCCTTTTTTCGGATCACAAAAAATTTTCTTTTCTCAAAAATAATTAAGTTAAGTATTATTTAATTAAGTTATTATCGCACCAATTAAGTCCCCAAGACTAACACACTAACACCGGGCTAAAGTCAGTCATATAAACAAAATAATAACCGACTAAAGATAATATGTATTTCTTTTAAGTCTATTTTTGTATCCAAAGCAGGTTATTTTCACAAAGGAATTACAAAATTCAATCCCTCATTCAAAGAAAAAAAAGAAAAACCTCATCCAAACATTCAATATCATCATCATCCTCGTCGGGTAATTTAGCATTAATAGCTTCTTTAACCATTTGATCAGCTTGGTCTTTTTTCAATAAATCATAATTGTGAGGTAATGGTGGGGCTGGGACACCGACTGGATATAAATTACAAGTACGACAATTTTTGTTATGTGGAAGTCCTCCAATTTTAGAAGTTCCAACACCTTGTGGAATTATATTGTCAAACCGTCCCCTTTAAAAAATAAGAAAAATAAAATGTAAATTAATTTAAAAGTCCGCAAATTTTATCTACAATTGTGGATAAAATTAAACAACCCCATCGTAAAGTATTTCACAGGGGTAACCGTCCGATTTGATAGGCAGTCGGTCTCTGATTCGAATTTAGTGAACAATAACTGATTTATTTTCGAGGTTTTTTAATATTAAAATTGTAAAATAAACTAATCTAGTAACTTGCGGACAAAAGTTGCGGACTTTCTGGGAAACAAGAAAAGAGCTAAAAACTAAAAAAAACAAACCATCTCATAGGAACAGTTTCAGTATAATATATTTCAACCCAAACTTTTTTGTTTACAAAAAAATTTAAAGGAGATTGAGAATTTGAAGTATGTTGAAGAAGCAAGAACTGATTGTCAAATGGGTCTAATGGAAGAAGTTTATCCTTAGAAAATCTTTAAAAAAAGAAATTTTCTAAAATTATTTTAAAAATTTAATACTTATCAACTTCAGAATCTTTAAATGCAACAACAACAGTGACATAATGAGGAACTCGATTACAATAAAAATCAGCAAAATATAAATTTACACGTTGAGGATCAAGTAAATTATGTGCGGGCAAAACCTTTAAAAATAAAATTTTTTTAGTTTTGAATAAAGTTTGAAAGGAAAATTGCTGAAAAATTTAATTAATTGACAATTAGATAAATGTTCGGATAGAATAACTAGGCGTTTATTAACTGGGCTCTTTTAGAAGGAAAAAGCTACTATTGAGAATGGGTTTTTATTAGAATATTTGGAATATTTTCAAAAAAATATATACCATTCTAACATCTCCAAATGGTGAAGAATTAGGCAAAGAACCATCAGGATTAGTTTTAGCAGAAAAGAAAAGTCCTGTTTTTTAAATAAAAATTAAAAATATTTAAATCAATAAAAACCTTCAATATTTTGATTTAAAGGACAAGCTGCCTGCCCATTACTATCCTTCAAATAAGGATTTAATACTTGCCCCATTTCATAAACATAATCCCAATAAATTCTTGGTTTACAACGATAAAGAAAAGTAAAAGATTGCATTGATGTTCCAGTAAAATCAATTGCTTTTTGCATTAAAACCATCATTTCATCAATTGAAAATGCTTTAGAAAAAATTTTTTTAATAATGAAAAAATCGCTGAAAATTTAAAAAAATTTACTTGCTCTTTCTTTGGTACTATTTGATGTATAAACATTTCCTTTTTGACCAATAACGTTAAGATCAATTGAATATCTAAAAAAAAATAAAACAAAAATTCTTTTAAAGTTGAAGTTAAATGTAAAAAAATATCACAAAAAGTCTGAGGAGTAAATAAAAAATAAATGCCCAACAAAAAAAATAAATCCGCAAAAATGTTTTTAATCAAAGAAATATTTTAATTAATATAAAACTGAAGACAAAAATGTAGGGTTGTAAAAGAATCGTACGAGAAATCTAGAAAAATCTCGACCTCAACTGAAATTTTTGGTTAAGCTACAGTCTCGGTCCTGTCTCTAATATTTATAAAAACATACAAAGATCCAGGAATTGCATCAAAATAAGTTTTTGTTGTATGTATTGGAAGAACTTTATCAAGTATTAATCCCAATTCACCAGTTCTTGCACCTCTTCCAATTCCACCTTCCAACTCCTCCAATTTTATGGCCAAATTTATTTTAAATTTGTCGTTAGCTTTAAAAATGAAAAAAATAAAAAGAATCTAAAATGTTTTATTAAAGTAAAATGTCTGGTACTGATATAAGCCTGATCTGACTGAGTGAGCCGTGTCTGATAAATTCGACAGTTAACTACTTTTTTTCACCGTTTTCCTCTATTTTCGACAGCGACTAAATTCGACAGTAAGGCTTAATTTTTAGAAAGTGCGAATAATTCTCAAACCTTGGCCCAGACCCATTCAATCACCAATACTTCCCATTGATTTTAAAAAACCTGGAAGAGTTGGCAACTTCCAATTTAAATGTATTCTCCTTGCAGATGTTACAGAATTTAATTCCAAGTACTTTTCATCCTGTGGAGCAGCAGCTTTAGTCATTTCAGAAAAATCACTATAAGAAGGTTTAGGCGTTTCATAATGTTCCCTCAATTGCTTTTCATAATCAATATGTGAAGATGATTCTTGAGGTTTTATTAATGGAGACCCAGGTCTTCTATCAAATTGAGCAAAAGATCTAGCAATTGGGACATTCCCTCCATATTGGCGTTGATAAAAATCGTGATCTGACAAAAACAGGAAGTGAAATAATTTCTTTTAGATTAGAAGATAGGGTTAAAAGGTGAATTTAGAGACAAAGAGGCACTAGTTAATATTTTGTGGTATGGCAGGCCTGTAAGACTAGATAACAGAAATCCCCCAACATTACTTCAAAAATTTAAAAAAAAAACAAAAATTAAACTAACTTGACCAGGGTTGGTGATGCACAGCAGACCGCCAATCTTCTCCAGGTACTCTCCAAGTACCAACTTCTCTATGATTCCATTGTGGTCCAGCAAGAGGAGGAGGAGGAGCACCAGCACCAACTCTTCTATCCATATAAGGATCAGGTGGATGTCCATGAAGTGGCATTCCATAAGGTTGAATAGGTGGTGGAGGAATTGGCATATTATGCCTAGGCGGTGGCCACATTTTTTACAAAAACTGAAATTTAAAAAACTAATTAACAGCTCTAAAAAATAGAAAAAATGGAAAAAATAACCAAATGTTTAAACGATCAAAAGAAATATTTTCCCTTAGTTAACACTTTGACATAATTATTTTAAAATATTTCTAAACACCAAATTACAAAAGAATTAATTTAGAAAATCCACACAAACAAGAAGAGGAAAACCAGAGGAACAACAAAAATAATTTAACAAAAAACCCTAAAAAATTCCAAACTTTAAAGGTTATCAAATTTTTAACAAAAAAAAAAGTAAAAAAATAATATTTTCAGGCTGCTTCACATTTTTTCTTCTTCACATCATCACAATTATTTAAATATCCCTCCAATTTAAAAACCATTTTTTCTAATCTTATTGAAATTTCCTTTGTTCCAAAAAATTTAACAAGTTCATGAATAGGTGGTCCAGATATATTATCAATTATTGCTAATCGAAAAAGACTGAAAGAAAAAAATTATTAATTAAAGAATTTTGTTAAAATTTCAGTCAGACCCCCCCCCCCCCCGGGGCTTAAAAATCGGATTGATTTTATAAAAGTTTGTATCTTAAACAGGGAGGATATCGCTTAAAAATAGAAAAATATTTTGCGGACAACCCGCCCCGCTTCTTATTTACACTAATAGCGAGATCCGCAACAAAAAAAATTAATTTAAAACAAACGTAGTTATTTTTCCTGCAGAAAAATCTTCTTCTTCCTTCGCTAACAATTTAATTTGTTCAAAATTAATTTTATTATTATCCAATTTTGAATATTCCAACAATTTATTCAAAATTTTCAAAACTTTTTTAATATCATCTTGAAAATATTTGACAATTTTTTCTGACGAATTTGGTGTCATAAAAAAGAATTTAAAGTCCCCAGTTGTTATGTCAGACATTTTACAAAATTTTTCTTCATTTAAATGTAAAAATGAAATTACTTTATTAAAATATGAAGAAGTTAATAATTGTGGATTTATTGAAGTTTTTGTTGTCTAAAAATTTTTTTTAAATTTATACGACACTGTCTAGGATGTCAAGTCCTAGATTAGGTGTTTTTCCTGGATTAAAAGTTATTTTTCCAAGATTTCCAGATTGAGAAATCTGGTCAAGATTGGAAAAAACTTGAACGTATGTTAACCAGATTTCTTGACCATCCAGAAAAGATCAAGGAACCGCGAAAAATAAATTTAAATCCAGGAAAACTAAAGGCTAATCTAAATCTAGGTCTCCCTTACTATTCATGATTAGGAGGCCGTCAAAAATCCAAAAAAAAAAAAACTCAAATCAAGAATTGAACTAAAGAGTCACAGATATAGACTACTTATTAAAGGTGTGTAAAAAATTTCAAAAGCGGACAGTCTCTTACTAACGGACACAAATGCGTATTCATTAAAATATTTTTTCCAAAACCCTGATGAGCTAGATCCCTCAAAAAACCCCGAATTAAAAAAATATTTTAGAAAAAACCTCTGGAAGAAGAGAAAATTGTTTTTTAATACAAGGAAGCAAATCTTTTTCAAAATCACTAGCTTGAAAAGCCATTCTTCCATAACGATCTAATTCTTTCAAATCTAACATAAAAGTACTTCTACCAATTAAATTTTGATCAAAATTTGTAATCATTTCATCAATTGTATAAAGTTTGTGTAAATTATATTCTTTAATTCCACTTCCATTTCGTAATAAAAAATTTAAAACAGCTAAAGGGAGATAGCCAAAATTTGTATAATAACTCTTTAAAAATATATAAAAAAATATTTTGAGAAGAAAAAATTTTTTTAATAAATTTGCGGAACTTAATTTTGTGTACAATTAACAGTCCTCTCACAGGACTCGAACCTGAGACATATGTATTTATTGACTCATATTTTTATATATTATGTCGGCGGCCAAATTACATTTTTGGACAAATTCAATTTGACCGGCCAAATTGAATTTGTCCTCGGACCCGTATATGTACTCGTAGTTTAGAACCTATCTATTGCATACTATAGAAATGAAATCAAACTTCTGTTATTATTTTAATAAATTTTTCCCGAAATTATAATTAAAGTCCCAAAACAACCCATATTAAATTTAATAAATTTTAATTAAAAAATTCTTGTATAGAAAATATACCACAAATGCATGCGATTTTCTTTTTGACAATTTATTTTTTCCATCCTCAGTAATTAAAGGTAAATGTGTAAATCGCGGTTCCTTCCAATTAAAAGCTCTAAAAATTAAAAAAAATTAAATTAAAAAACAAAAAACATACTCATAAAGTTTTAAATGTTTTGGTGTAGATAAAAGCCATTCTGATCCGCGAATTACATCTATGTATAAAAAATTTTTTAAATCACCACTTCGAAGGAAATTAGTGTCCTAGCGACATTTGCGAACATTCGTGGATAGGTGACATTTGAGGTTAAGTAATGATTGCATACAAATTTTTGTGTATCCGCACATTTTATTGGGGTGCCCAAATATAGATTTACTAGTTTCTAATTACGTTAGTCAAAAAATACCACTAATTTCCATATAATGGTCATCTACAACATTAGCAAAGTGATAAGTTGGAAAGCCATCACGTTTTAAAATAATAAAATCAACCTCGTCCCAACTTGTAGAATAAACACCAAAAACTGTATCCTAAAAAGTACAGATATTCCCAATTTCCACATTTTGAAAAGGTCAAAAAATTCCGAATGTTTTATGTCCCATTTGCATGGAAATTTAGGATATTTGCGGACAAAATTGTGTGTATCGAACAGGGATGGGCCCGGTTACCCGAACCTTAAAAAACTTTTTTTTCCGATCTAAAAAACCCCGATCCAATGAACATTTTAAAAACCATGATCAACTTTTTTTCTAACTGATATAAGCCCTCCCTCAAAAAATTAGAAATAAAACCTTAAAAGACATTTCACCAGCATCATATTTAAATCTAACAACAGGTATTTCACCATTTTTTTCACGAGCAGCAATTTCTTCTTTTGACAGATTTCGACAATGGCGGTCATAACGAGGAATTTTCTTTTCATTTAAAGCTTTGCGTCGAAGAATATCAAGTCTCTAAAAACTAAAAGAAGATAAAATTTGCCAAAACCGGTACTAAAATGTTCCCTAGAAAAAATGAACAGCAAGTATTTTTCGATAGTTTGGAGGTTTGCCAGTGAGTAATCGAGTGTATTGAGTCGAAATATTAGCTTGGAAATTGTCTATCTCGAATCCCGATCCCAAATTCGACCATTTCGAATTAGGATCCGGGATTTGAAATAAATAGAAGTAGAACTTATATTCGGACCCGGCACACTCAATTACCTACTGCCAACCATCAACAATATCGAAAGCGCCTTCTTGATCATTTTTCCTAGGGAAACAGGAAAGCAGAAGACAACCAAAAAACCCGCACAAATTTTTCCCAAAAAAAGTCAAAAAAACCTCAACAGAACAAAAACATTTGTAAGCTTTATTCTCTTCTATTAGCCTCTCAACTTCATTTTTATAAATTTCACATCTCTCAGATTGTACATAAGGACCAAAATTTCCATCAATAGAAGGGCCTTCATCCAAATTTAAGCCAAAATATGACAAAACATTTTCAAACTAAAAAGAAATTTTTTAAAGAAAATTAAAAAAAACCTCATTTTGTGTACCCTCTACCAATCTGTCCCGGTCAGTATCTTCAATTCTTAATAAAAATGATCCTCCATATTTCTTGGCAAATAAATAATTAAAAAGTGCTGTTCTTAATGAACCTTTAAAAATAAAAAAATTTTTTGATGGTTGGCCCATTCTGTCCCCAAATTGGCTTAGTTATTCGAGTTTAAGGATTTTTTCCCAAATAAATGAATCGCCAAGGGTCAGGCAAGTAGCCAGGAAAATTATCGGAAGGTCTATTTTTTAAAAAACCTAAATGCAATTGTCCTGTTGGTGACGGAGCAAAACGAACGCGAACATTGTCATAATTATTCGACGATTCAAGAGAATAATGACGAACATTTTGAATTAAAAAAGAAAATAAACGTCGGTAAATCATTAAAGTTTCGCTACAATTGCGGAAATAGAACATCTGCTGTAGCTAAAATTGGAGAAAAATAAAATTTAATTAAAAAATACTTTGTGGGCAAAACCAACTATAAAATAAACACAATTTTTATAAAACAAAAAAATTTATATAAAATACAAAAAAAGGAACTAAAAGCACCTCAATAAAATCATTAAAACATTACAAAATCCCCTCAATTGTCATCCTTCTCCTTTCTCTAAATAATTCTAACCAACGTTTATTTCTAACTTCAGGGTCTTCAGAAAGCTTTAAAAAAATTTTAATTTTCTAAATTATTCAAATTTTTATACTTTTTCATGTGCCAAAGGAAATCTGCTTGCCGGGGGGACAGTTGTTGTTTCTTCCTTCTTATTCTCCTCCTTATTTTCATCCTTATCTCGTTTTTTGCCAACCTCCTTTTTATTTTTAGACTTTTCTGCAATTTGTTTACTCGCCCATAGAGGTCCAAACATTGCACGATCGTGATGGGTTGTAGAAGAAGATGTAAACAAATTTGTGGTGTTCTCAGAACTTTTGGTTGTAGTGGAAGACTTGAAAAATAAAAAAATGAAAATGTATATAAAAAGAGAAATAATTTCAACTCCCCGTCCGGGCTGGACGCAATTTAAAAAATTCCACATCCAGGATTTTAATTTTAAAATCCACAAACGTAATCAACAAATCACAAAAACAAACAATTCGGGCAATCTTCACTTAATATATGCACTTTTTTCTCCGTGGTCAAAACATTTCGTATATGGCGTCATTCGAAAGAAAAAGGGGGATAACAATAAGCACCGAACATTTTAAAAAAAAACTAACCATTCTAGCCGAATCCGCATCTGATTTGAACGAACAAGGATTAAAACCAGGCTCTTCAATCCGTTCAATGGCAGCATGGCGGGAAACGGAGTCTAATATTTCTGAAGCATCTGAAGACAAAAAGGTTAGAGAAATAGTTGAAACAAAAACCTTGTTTTTCCTGTCGAAGTCGTATGGCCTGAGAATACTCTGAACTTCTTCCGCTATCTATTGCTTCGTTTAGAGATGACTTTAAGCGATTCTTGGCTTTCTCAATTCCTTTCTGTATCTCATTCTTTGAACTGAAAATTTGGCCTAACAATAAGTGTACTTTACGGGGGATTTTAGATTTGGACAATTTATGTGAATCGAAAAAGCTCGACGAGCCGAGCCGAACATTTTCAACTAAAAAGTCCGTTTGTAGGTATATACTTACAAATAAGTACATTTTCAATTACGTAGGTTTGAAGGTCACTCCGGAAATAAGTACAAATGTCACCCCTGTTTTAAACAAACCTGGAATCATCGTGTTTATGCCGCCCATCCTTTTTTGACCTTCTAGGGCTTTTACTTCGATCTGATCGCCTGTCACGTTCACGTCTTCGAGATGAAGATGATTGAGAATTTTTACTGCTCATGGATAATAAAATAAACAAACTGAAATTTAAAAATTTTTAAGAAAAATTCAATCTAAAAATTCTAATAGCCAAGTTAAAATCCGGTTTTGTTGGGAATCTATTTGGGGAAAATCTTTTGAGGGCTTTCGAATGGTATATTTTCATTTAAATTTGATCAAGCACAAAAAAAGCTATAGCCGAACAAAGTCGGCCAGTGCTAAACGGCCGCGCTCAACTAACCCAAACAAAGGACTGTGCCGTCCTCAGATTTTTTACAACTTCGCGTTCCATTTCCGCTTTTTAAAATCCGAGAGAGCCTATTCCCGTCTTAGACCCTCCCTCTTCCTTAGCGAAAAAATCGAATTATAGAACCAAATCAATAACTTTTAAATTACCAAAACAAACAAAATTATACAATTTTTAAATAATAATAAAGGAAGGGAAAAAATACTGGAAAAACAAATCAAATTAATAAAAGACAAAAAATCAGGTAATTTTCTCCTTTTTTTCTTCTTCTTCAGTTTTTCCATCAACAATCAAATTTTGGGATGAACTCGAGGATGTTTGTTTGATTTCATATATTCCTGAGAAAAAAAAGAAGGGAATTAAAAAATAAATTTAAAATGACATGTTCGGAAATTATCATCCCCTCACCCTTGTACTTCTTGGTGACGGATTGAAAAGTCGGGTCGGGATTCTAGTTAGTTTTGAGAAATTTCTTTAACCCGTCCCATCCCTGATACCAATACCGGCTGGCATTCAATTTATAATCCCCGTTCAGTCTAGTGAAATATTAAAGGAGGGTACCAAAGCGGTAATCCCATTTTCGATCTATTCGATTCATCAGCTAAAAACTCAAATCCGATAAATAATTGGCATTATTCAAAAATTTGTTTGTAAGGGGGTGAGAAAAGTAAACAACTTTAAAAAATAAATTTAAAAAATTATTTTCTTACATCAAGTTCTCTATCCATTTCTGCGACAGTTTTTTTGAGACGTCTGTCATTTCGTCGATTTCTTCGGAAACCTCCACCCTGACCAGAAATCCAATTTCCTCCCCCACCGCCTCCATACCAAGCCCTCCAACCTCCAACAAACCTTCCACGAAATGATCGCTTAAAAGCAAAATTGTTTCGAATTGGGCGGCGAAGTGCAAATTCGGACGTCATTCTAAAATTGGAAATATTTAAAAATTGATTTTAAAAGATTGAAAAAACCGAGGACGAAAACTGAGTCGTTGTTGAATGGGTCTTCGTGGTGAATCATTATAGAGCTAAAAGATTAAATGTTAAAGTATGGTATGAAGGGTGTGGGGTAAGTTTGAGTTATGGTTGTGAGGCCGATATAAACACAATAAATTTCCTTGGGGAGGCAGGGTTTAGAGCAGTATAAATCATGGGCGGGAGCTCGAGATGGAACCCCAATTTAAAAACCTATTTAATAAAGTCTTCAAATGTTAACACAAACATTTCGATCACAAAAAATTTCCCAACAAAAAATAGCCTCACTTAAAAATAAATTTAAAAGAAAAATACATTGGATCTTGGTCGAGGTGCATAATCATTTGGAAAATCATATTCTTCATCAATATCATCCAAATCATAATTGTGTACTCGAGAAGAAGAATAAAATGGCCGACGAATACGCATCTTCTGATAAACGTTGTAATCATCAAGTGTGAGATTAACAGGATTTAAATTGTTTAATTCAGATAAACTTTCAAAAGGTTCACTACTACAAGTACGGAAGCGACCACCACCAGAATGATGATATTGGGAAGGTGGTGGACGATATTGATCATGTTCTGAGAATTCGCCATATAATTCATTGTCCTATAAAATAATATTGATTTCTTGTTAAAAAATAAAATTTATTTAATCAAAAAAAGTTTAAGAAAGAGAATTAGAAAAACTTAAAGAATAAAAGCAGTCTTATTGTTAGCTAGGTAGCCGAAAACCTCAATATTTAAAGTGATGCCTTCCAATAAATTCAGTAACTCATACTAAAACAACACACCAAGCCTTTGGCAAGTTTGTAATAAAAAGAAAAAATAGATTAAAAAAGTTGAGGATACTCAATCAAGATAATCAGACTAATTCAAATTCAAAGCCAAAAACACAGCCCAAGTTACCAAAGGTCCTGCAGTCTTGGTAGGAGTTGCTGACATGACGATTAGTTTGTATAAAATAAAAATAAATACCATATAATTGTCGTGTAAAAAAGATTTGTTGCTGCTAATGCTTCCACTTGTTGGACGTTGAAAAACACGAGGCCGCTCAATTATAGGACCTCCATTAACAGAAAGAACACTTTCCGCTCGATGCCGCAAATTCTGAGGTTCTAAAGAAGATTGTCTTTGTTTTACTACATGTCTATGTGGTGGTGGTGGTTGTTCAACTTTTTCTGCTTGAATTCGATTAAACCTGCAAAAAAACATTTAGATTCTCAAAAATTATAAGAGAAAACCTTTCAGAAAGTCTTAATTTACTCGTTCCAACAACTACTATACGGGCTGGAACGACATCAGAATTGTTCATTGTATTTAACAAAACGTTGATTTATTGTTTAAAATCCAAAAAACTGTTCGAACACGTTAAACATAAGTGCAAAATTAAGAGTTTTAAAGTTGAGCTTAAATTGAGTTCTGGCATATTGTTATTTATTAAATTAAAAATACGCGTGCCCGCTCAACTCATCGAATCCTTAACTCATCGAATCGACCAAAAACGCTCAACTCATCGAATCGGCTAAAATTCCTTAACTCATCGAATCGGCCAAAAACACTCAACTCATCGAATCCTTAACTCATCGAATCCTCAACTCATCGAATCGGCCAAAAACGATCAACTCATCGAATTTTTCCAAAAGGGGACGTTTGAGTCCCCTGTTTTTATTTTTCTCCCGAAAGGGCTAACTGAATCTTTGTTGAAAAAATTTTTTGCTGCTATGGAGGCTAGGAAAAAGGGCTTTTGGGCATAATCGGGGTCTACTGGACTAATTTGGTCCGGTTTTACCCGGTAAAATCTCCAGCATAATTTATTAGGAATGAGATAATGTTTTCAGGAATGAGATAATGTTCTGATAATGTTTTCACTGGCCGGATAAACTTGGATGAGTGCCCGATCAACTAATTAACAAAATTAGTTGAAACCCCAGAAGAAAACAAAAAAAAATAAACAAAACAATAAAAAATCTAAAAAATAAACACGGGGACTCAAACGTCCCCTTTTGGAAAAATTCGATGAGTTGATCGTTTTTGGCCGATTCTATGAGTTGAGGATTCGATGAGTTAAGGATTCGATGAGTTGAGTGTTTTTGGCCGATTCGATGAGTTGAGGATTCGATGAGTTAAGGATTCGATGAGTTGTAGGGTAGCCAAAATACGCAAGACAAAGAAAAAAATAAAATTTAGAGTATAAAGGTTAGACAAAAAAGTAAAAAACTGTAAAAATTTAGAACATATATTTCTTAAAATGTCATATTTAAAAATGCCAAATACGACAGAAATTCACTTTTTGACACGCGAGACTTACAAAAAATAAAATTTAGAAAATTTTAAACTAAAAAGTAAAAAAACTTTAAAATGTCAACTAGGGCAAATTATGAGTTTTCGTCTAAAAGAAAGTGAAACCTGCAGGCTAAAGCACATCCTACCTACAAAATTACTCCTTTTAATAATTAAAAACAAGTAATACAAATTATAATATTTACCATCCATTACAAATTTATCCGTAAACTTATACAATAAAAAATGCTTAATATTACGATAAACACAATTTTTTCAAGAAAAAATTTTCTGAAATTTTTTAGATTTAGTTATGAGAAATAGTAGAGAATGAATAGAGAGAAAGAACAACAAACACGACACCTTATTTTTTAATAGTATTTTTTCATGAACTAGTTAGTATTTTTTTCCATTTTTAAATAATTGTGTATATAAAATAGAGCTGCAAAATTACTACAAAATATAAAAACACACAAAATAATTTTAAAAAATCGAAAAAAAATCAATTATAACATATTAATAATTTTTTGGAGGATTTCTCGTTTGTAAGTCAAAATATTGAAAAAAACCTTTTTTTGATAAAAAAAAACACAATCCTTTGTTCTTTGTCAAAAAATAAAATCCTCTTTTGTCATATCTATAGCCCATCGAAATTTGTCACGTTGAGTTTTCGAGTAAATCTTTTCTATAGGGATGTCATACTTTTTGCACCAAGCAACTGATATTCTATAAAAAAATTGAAAATGTATTTGGAAATCTGAGACTAGCCTATTTTGGGGACAGTGGCCGGGGAAGAAATTAATTTGAAAGTTCGGTGAAAATATTTTTTAAGACGTTTATCGTCCACATCGTTATATCACGACTCTTTTGCAGACAATTAGGGAGAAAATTGGACCTTTACCCATTTTTCCCCTTGGCTTGGTTACGGGCCTGATGGGCATGAAAAGGTTTTTTCATGTTAGAAGTTGGGAAGAATATCCAAAAAGACACGAATCCAAAAGGACACAATAATCGAGATGGATGACTCATTATCAGTCCGTATTTAAAAAAAACCTTGGATCCAAATAATTAAGTTTGGATGTGCCCAATGCAATTTGTTTATTTTCATCCTTAAAAAATTTTTTTTAATTTAAAATTAATTTATTAAATTAAAAAAAAAGAAACCTTGTCGGTATGCTGTGTTTTTAATTTTACAAGTTGTTCTTTCACTCGAGTATATTTTTTCTGCAATTTCTCATCATTTTTATTTTTCTTAAGTTCAGCTTTAATTTCTTTATATTCTTTCTTCTTTTCATTAATCTTTAAAAAAAGAAAAATTCCGCGTAAACTAAAGATTTTCAAAAAAACAATGGATTTGAGCTCAATTCCTCATAACTATTTCCCAAAAAAGGTTATAACCTAAAAACCGACGAAATTGCCGAGCTCGAAAACTCCCTAGCCTAAATTTCTTTGAGTGGAATCCTTAAACTCTAGAAAATACTAGGAAACCATTCATTTTTATTTTAACCTTATTTTGTAGTGTTTCCATAGCCTTATCATGAGTTTTAGGGACTGCACGTTGGTGATTACAAAGAATTGCAACTTGTCGATTTGCACCTTTACAAAAAAATTTTTTAAGTTGTTTTTTCAAAGTTAAAAAAATTTACGATTATATGAAAGCAGCTTTGCATGGATTGTATCATCAGCTTAAAATATTAAAAAATAATTTAATCAAAAATTAAAAAAAATAACGATTTGTTAATTTATCCAATTGGTCTTGTAAAGTAATTGAAGCATTATATGTACGAAATACTTTGGCAGTTAATCCATCCATTAATTCTTTCAAATAAGCATTTAGAGAACTTGTCTTTAAAAAAAGTTTTTTTTAATTTAAAGCGTTAAAGCAAAAAAAATTTTTTTTAATTTTTACTCGATTTTTTTGTTACTCCTCTTTCGGAGACGGTGGAAGGGATCTTGGAAGAGGAGGTGAGAAGGATTTTGGGAAGAGGCGGTTGGAAGAATTTCAGGTGAGCCTCTGTGGGAAGGACTCCGGAGGATACATATTCTGCGGTGATGTCACCAGGGGACCTTGGGAGAGGCAAAACTTTGCGGGAGTTTTTCGGGAAAAATTCCGGAATCAGTAGGTAAATCATCCAAATTTGCCATCAAATTAACTCAAAAGTAAAAAACAAACATCAAGTCTATCAAAGAGATCATCGCCAGGTTCCTTTCCTTCCATAAAAATTTTCAAATTTTTAAAAACAGCCTTTTCAACAGGTACACGATTGTAATAACGAATTGAATCTTTTCCAAGAAAATCAAATTCTACAACATATTTCTGGTTATCCAATTCTTCGTGTAATTTAATATGTTCACAACGAAGAGAGCAACAACCAACAGTATCTTTAATAAATTTTTGAATTTTTTTCTAAAAAAATGGGCCGGAATCAAGGGCATGTAACCAGGATTTTTTTCGGAGGGAGGGAGGCGTTATTGCTTTTACTACTTTTACCCGAAAAAAAAATAAAATATTTTCAGGGGCCTGTATTAAAAATTTAATTAAAAAATTTTCAATTTTGAAAATTAAAAAATCTTCAAAAAATTTTTTAAATTAAAAAACCTGCAGCTTCATCAGTATCCTTTTCATTTCCAGCTCTAAGCGCAAATTTATCAATAAAATAAAGAGCAACTGCACGTTGTCGTATTCGCATCTCTTTGCTTTTAAAGTCTAATAAATACTGATCTCGAATTGGCCCAACACAGCCTTTAAGCTTTAATAAAAAGAATTTTTTTAATTTTTAAAAATCAAAAAACCTTTCGCGCTTTTTCGAACTTTTCCCAATCTTTTTGGCCTTTAAGCTTTGAAGAAGGGTTTAACATTATATATTTGTTACTGAACAAAACATTTTCATTCCAAGAACAAAGCCAAGTGACCTTAAAATGAATTTAAAAAATAATATTGGTAAAATTAGTTAAATCACTGATAAAAAAATGAACCGATTTAGATAAACAATGAAATTCGAAAAAGCCTGTGAGAGTCGTCATTTATATAATCAAATCTTCACCCAAAAATCGCTTGACCCCCCCCCCCCCCCTATGGTTTTTTGGTTTTAAAGGGAATGTAGCTCGACACAGAGACCCAAGTTTAATTTTGATTTGGAAACCAAGCCTTCGAATGACATATTGTTGTTGGAGATACGACGTAAGTTAAAAAATAAAAAAACCATATTGTCATGTCGAACTTCTTTCCATTTATGACCTTTAGGAGGAGGAATTGTAACACCTTTAGAGCAATTTATTATAACATCTTCTGGTTGAACTCGTAGCTTTAAACAACCCATTTTTGGGTGTTCTCCTATAAAAAAAATTAATTAGAAAATTGTGAGTTGTAAAAGAAGACATGGATGCTAGCCTTTTATCCTATTTACCGTTCTGACATAAGGTGGTTAACAAGGGGGCTGGGAGGCCATAGCCTACCCACCGTCCACCCCCCCCCCGTAAGGGGTTCAAACCGTGAGACAAGGGCGTATCCAGGGGGTCAGTTTCGGGGGGGGGCTAACATTGGGTGTGCGCCAAATTTTGGCGTTCACTTTGGCTTTCCTTCCGCAAATTTTTTGTACGTAAATTTTTATCTTTTCAGCGCCGCAGGCGAAAATTTTTTGAAAATTGGAGGTCAAGAGGCCAAATTTCTTCCATTTTCTGCGACGCACGCGAAAATTTTTCGGAATTTGGAGCCCAAGAAGCCAAATTTCTTCCATTTTTAGCGCCGCAAGCGAAATTTTTTTAAATTTGAGGGTTGTAGGTGAAAAAATTTCATTTTTCGACCGTCCTTCTCCTAATTTTCCCTCTTTCCCCCATTTCAGGGGGGGGGCTAGAGCCCCCCCCCCTGGATACGCCCTTGCCGTGAGATTCCTAACACGAAGGTAAATAATTTAAACAAAAAACCTCGTCCTCTAAAAAGTCCCGGTGGTTCAATTCGAAAATTTCCAATTTTTTGTTTATAACCATCCAGCATCGCAAAACCATATTCAGCCGCTTCTTTATCTTTAATTTCTTTTTCTGCTTTTTTCTCTTCTTTACTTCGAGCTTTTCTTTTTTCAGTTTCAGAAAGAAAATAGGCATTTATATCACTTTAAATAGTTATTTTTTAATAACATTGTAAAGAAGCAAAATTTAGAAAGTGTTAAGTTTAGCCCAGAGCAGGTATCGAACCTCATGGCATTTATTGTTAGCCCTTCTTGCTCAACACGTACAGTTGCTCTCCCAACTAACCACCCTTTTTTTTAATAGATCCAAAACTCTTCCTATGCTAGACAGCAGGATCACTCCTCACTTTTTCCTTATATATATTAATAAATATTTTATACCGAAAATCACATTTTTTTAAATCAGTTATTGTTGAACGTTCTGCAGCGGTCATTGTCTAAATCAATTTTTAGAAAATTTTTTAAATGAAAAAACCTTTCTCCAATCCTTAAAAAAGTTTTGATTAAAAATAGGCTTTGAAGTATAGTCATGATCAAGCATCTTAGCATAAAAAGTGGCAACTTCTTCAGCAGACGGGGATAGATCCATTGGCTACAAATGGAAAAGTGTATAGTAAAAAAAAAGTTTAAAGTGGCTTAAACTCCGACGCCTTCTAGCCAATTCAGCATCCGTTCAGTTGGATTAAACTTCCCCGGTCAGTCCCTGATATCTGTCCCAGCCCAATCCATCACCTAAATTTTATTCTCTCCTTGGATAAATTGATGGTCAAGTAGTCAACGAACACCCGTCGGATATAACAGTTCCAACCCCATCTAGCCCAGACCCTTTTTTGATAAACCCGACTCAGGCCACTTTTATCGAACCCTAACCCAACATTATCAATAACGACAAATTCCGACCACAATCTTTTCAACCACGAAAAGTTGAAATCCAACCACAATTAAAAAATTCTAACCTTTCCATTATATTTGAATTTAATGTTTTTAGGTAAAGGAACATATTCTGGTGCAAACATTGGCCCTTTATGCTCTAAAGTTCTCCATTTAATTGTTCCATCTGATTGTTCAGGTGATTGTTCTTCCCACCACTTCCAAACTTCCTCCTCTTCTTCAGCCTTCTTTTTCTTTTTTGTAGGGCTTGCAGATGAAGATGACTGAAAGAAAAATAGTGTAGGTTAACATATAGAAATGCCATACAAGTACGAAAAACCTCTAGTTATCGGGTCAAAATCGACCGAAAACACAAAAATTTCGGATTGGTTGAGAGAAAATTTTGGTTGGGGTTTTCGGTTGACAAGAGAAATGGGTGAAACCGACAACCCCCAATATCGACAACCTAAATATCGTTGACCCAAAATTTAGGGCGTCGATATTTAAAGGTGTGAGAGGTGGAGTCAAATTAAACAACCTCTTGTTTAACAAGATTATTTTCAGTTGATTTCTTTTTCTTTTTTGCAGGTTTGTCATCATCGTAATCCGAATCTTCTTCAGTTTTCGTCTCTTTTTTAGCAGATGACTTTGGCGTTGGTTTTTCAGGTTTGGATTTGGAAGATTTTGATTTCTTCTAAAATTAAAATGACTCAAAAAAAACAAAAATTAAAAAAAAACCTTTGGAGTATATTCTTCTTCACTTTCAGACGATGCTTGTCTCGTCTTCCGCTTTTTATCGGCAGATTTTTTTACAATAGGTTGAGCTTCTTCTCCACCACTTTCTACAGGTGTCACAGGTCTTTTAACAGATTTAGAAGTAGAAGAATTTTGTTGTTTTTCCCGAATTCGTTGAGACCATGGAATATCATCCAAATCTTCATTTTTGACAGAAGAGTCATTTTTTAGTTCATCTCCATTAGTTTCACCAACCCCATTTTCAACAGGAAGAGAATTTGACAATTCTTGTTGGTACTCGGAATTCACTGCAGTTTCTTTCCTGTTAAAATTAAGACACTAATTTACGAGAAATTTAGAAAATGTAGGAAAGACGGTGAATCAGGGGGTGCCGGAATTTTGGTCACCAAGGATTTTCGGAACTCTGGTCACCAACTTTTTTGGAATTTTGGACACCAGCGGAATTTTGGTCACCAAGTCAAAAAACGGAATATTGGACACTGAAATTTTGGACACCAAGAGGAATTTTGGTCACCAAACGGGAAAAACAAATCTTATCTAGAACTGATATCAAAGTGATAAAAAATTGTTTTTCAACTCCCAGTTGATCAATTTCAATGTTGATCACTCTCACAGTTAATCAATCATCCGGAAGAGTGATCGAGAGTGATCAACTGAGGGAGTGATCAGCCATGAGAGTGATCAACATTGAAATTGATCAACTGGGGGTTGAAAAATCATTTTTTATCACTTTGATATCATTTTAGATAAGATTATTTTTTCCCGTTTGGTGACCAAAATTCCTATTGGTGACCAAAATTTCAGTGTCCAATATTCCGTTTTTTGACTTGGTGACCAAAATTCCGCTGGTGACCAAAATTCCAAAAAAGTTGGTGACCAGAGTTCCGAAAATCCTTGGTGACCAAAATTCCGGTGACCAAAATTCCGTACACCGAATCAGGCACATAATTTTTATGTGCCTGATTCTCAGGAATTTGTGAAAAGGAATTTAAGAAAATCAAGAAAAGTTTGATACCTAAACAGACGGCCTATTTAACTTAAAGAAAGATAGCCGGTATTATTCAATTCTGTACCTCTTTTTTTCCTTCCTCAAATTATAAAAATGGTCAGACTTATCCCGGTGACCTCCAATAACTCAAAAAATTTAAATTGATATTTTGGTGGGTGGGCACAAGATAGAATGATACCGTCGAAACCCAAAGTCTCAATCCTTTAGATAGAAACTAGATAAATGCCACATTATAATCAAATTAGGTGCTTCGTCGCCATCCTAATATTATGTAAAGAATGGTCAAAGTAGCTTCCATATAATATTGAACCGGACAGACTCCTTTTTTCCGGCGCTCCGACTCGGGCACAGTGATCCATTTGCACAGTAAGACTTTTGCACAGAGGACATCTGCACAGTGGACAATTGCACAGTAATTTGTGGTTAAGTGGAGTTGTGTTAGGTTTTACTTATTGTTATAAGGGAAGGCAATCCCGGAGAATTGGGCAATCCCGGAGAATTGATTCTATTAAAAGACTGACCATTTTGTACAATGTCTGATAATGTTCGGGGTCATAAGTCCTGTTCGGGGGCAAAAGTCCGAATTCGGGTTCGGGATTCGACTTTTTCAAAATCTGAGCTCGGATTCGTAATCAGCATATTTTTTTACCCTAGAAAAATCCTTTTTCTTATTTTTAAGATTTTTTTCCGCAGGGACCCCAATTCTCCGGAATTGCCTAAGGGAATAAATGTTACTAAGGAAAAATTCCTTCATATCACCCGGAAACCGATTCGGACAAATGATATGTCATTCGAAAGATCTCGCCGAGTTGAGTCGAACGGCACCAAAATTAGCTTGGGGACTCAGTTATGGGCCGAGATATAGATTCCCGAAAATCGAAAAACCATAGAGGGGAGTAAGCCCAATTTTTGTGTAAAAAATTCGAATATGCAAATTATACATCATTCGAAATTCCTGGATATTACCTAAATCACACGATATCACTCAAAATTCACTTTAATCCATCTAAATCTTCTGTATATCATAGTCCTTTTTCAGCGCTGCATCATTAAAAATTAGTAAAAATTCATTTTTACAACAAATACTTGCATACTTTAATAAAGATCTGCTAGAATTTGTCCACTTGATAAGCGAACGAAAATTTAAAATATGTAAAAAATAATTAAGAAATACTTAGGTTAGAAAAAGAATTATGAATTTTAATATGTACAATTTAAGATTTTTTAGTAAAGGTATTAATAATTGGTAACATTTATTCCCTTATAACAATAAGTAAAACCTAACACGAATCCACTTAACCACAAATTACTGTGCAATTGTCCACTGTGCAAATGCCCTCTGTGCAAAAGTCTTACTGTGCAAATGGATCACTGTGCCCGAGTCGTGTCACCCTTTTTTCCTCCCCAATTTTTCGCAAATATTTTTGCAAAATGGTCACTGCAGACAAAAATTAGAAAGGCAATCCGGATGGAAGCAAGGGAAAAGTCTGACCATTTTGCAAAAATATAGGGAAAAATTGGGGAGGGAAAAAGGGGGTCTGTCCGGTTCAATATTACGAGCTTCCATTTACTATTCGTTTATTGATTGACTGAAAGACGAGGGGGAATAACATGAAAATAAGTAAACCTGACCGTTACGCGGATCCGAAAAAATAAGATGGCAAATTAAACAGAGATGTACCCAAAACTATAATTTAAAAGAAATACCCATTTTGTGCCACAGCATTGTTTGGTTCAGTCTCTGTTGCCATATTTTATTAAATTCACTGTCTCTTTTTTAAAATGCCAATCTTTAACCAATATAGATTGTAGCAATGAATTTCCGAGAAATTTAATTGTATTTAAATAAAATCTAAAAATTTTATTATTAACAAATTAACACAAAAAATAAAAGAAAAATGAAAGAAGTACAAGATTTTCTTTGAAAATTTTACAGAATTCGACAATTGAGTCTCAATGTTTTAGTCCAAGAGCAGTCAGAGTCTCAAACGTTTTAATACCAAATAGGTAACAGTTGAACTGAATATCTGTGCCAACTGAATGCGTATGCAAATTTTCTATTTTTTAAATTTTTTAAAAATGATAGACATAAAGTTGTCTCGGCACTCGTAATAGTTCGGTTCGTACCCCCCCCCCCCTTTTTTTTCCTTCCTAAAAGTATTAAAAATGATCAGTCAGACTTAGGTTATAGAACTCATCGAGCTGTGTCGAATGACACCAAAATCATTCACAGGTCTTATCTTTGGGCCGAGATACAGACCTCCGAAAATTGAAAAATAAATGGGTGTATCAAGCTCATTTTTTAAGCTAAAAATTCGATTAACCAAATAATAGCTTATCCGAAAGAGATTGCCAAGCTGATTCGAATGACATCAAAATCAACATGATTGAACAAAATTTGATAAAACTATGACATAAAGTATTCCTATTGTAGTTGTGAGACACTTTTACAAAAACTTTCCCTTTGCGAAGGGTTTTTGTCTGTACCTCGGCCCAAAGTTAAGATCTGGGTTTGATTTTGGTGTCTTTCGATACAGATTGACGAGTTCTGTAAGCTAAGACTGACTGACCATTTTTTAATACTTTTAGGAAGGAAAAGGGAAGGGCGTGACGGGACAATCCGTCAGTGGACAATCCGGCAGTGGAAAATCCGTCAGTGGACAATCCGTCAGTTGTCGGACAATCCGTCGGTGGACAATCCGTCAGTGAACAAAACCGTAATTCTTACCTCTACCCGACCTACCGCGGCCAAAAATTTTCATTTTTTCGTGTGGAGATTATAAGAGATATCGGCTGTACTTTAGTACGTGGGTCCCGGAGTTAATATACAAATGTTATACCATTCGAAAGAGCTAGTCGAGCTGAGTCGAATGCTACCAGTTTTAGCCCGAGGAAAAATTTTTGGACCGAGATATAGGTCCCTGAAATTTGAAAAAGCATAGGGGGGACCAAGCACTTTTTTGGGGTGAAAAATTCGAAAATGCAAATGATACCTCATTCGAAAGAGCTCGTCGAGCTGAGTCGAATGACACCAAAATCAACGAAATCCGACTTGATTGGACCGAGATATAGGTCCCTAAATACCGAAGATCCAAAGGGTCGATTTTTGGAATAAAAAATTTTTTATAGAAATAATACCTCATTCGAAAGAGCTCGACGAGCTCTTTCGAATGAGGTATCATTTGCATTTTCGAATTTTTCACCCCAAAAAAGTGCTTGGTCCCCCCTATGCTTTTTCAAATTTCAGGGACCTATATCTCGGTCCAAAAATTTTTCCTCGGGCTAAAACTGGTGGCATTCGACTCAGCTCGACTAGCTCCTTCGAATGGTATAACATTTGTATATTAACTCCGGGACCCACGTACTAAAGTGACCCCGAGATATCGAAAATTTGGAGTTTAATTAGGAAATCGTCTAATTTGGCTGAATTAAAAGATCAGTGGATTTGGGAGATATCGGGGATTTCAAAGGATATCGTGGAACCAATGGAAATACAATAGATTTAGAGTATCATGGTGGTTATCGAGGAATTTGGGGATTAAGGGGGATTTTGTGGATTAAGTGGGATATCAAGGGATATAGTCGGATTAAGAATATTTTGAGGTTGTTCCATGATATCCATCTAAAAACAACCTCTCGTATTGAGGACTTCCCATAATCCCACGATATTCATCCAAATCCAATATAATCCTACACGTTAATTATGTAATCTAATCCATCCAAATCCCCGAATCCTTCTAAATCCATCAAAAAATCCAACGCGGGAGGTCGGGTAGAGGTAAGAATTACGGTTTTGTTCACTGACGGATTGTCCACTGACGGATTGTCCGACCTCTGACGGATTGTCCACTGACGGATTTTCCTCTGCCGGATTGTCCACTGACGGATTGTCCGGGAGCCGGAAGGGGGGGGGGTACGAACCGAACTATTACCCTCGATTGCCTTCTCTCTGTCAACCCCAACTTTAAAAAATAAATTGATCGAAAAACCACAGTTCGGCGCTTTCACGGTTCGGCGCGGTACGATCCGGCGTCAGTTGATAAATTTTTTCAAAAAAGAATTCTTAAACTTACTTTAGGCAACTGAAGGGAAATTGGGGGAAATGCAATTGAGGGGAATTTATAAATTTACTCGTACTTCGTACTACCCCATATTTTGACTTTGTACTTGCATATTTTTGGCCTCATACTTCGTACTTAATACACTCCGTTAAGAAAGACCCACGAATTTTTGTATCTATGTTTAAAATTCTAAAATTGAATTTTCTCGAAGTTAAGGTGTTAAGAAAGTATAAACACCCCAGTAAAAATTTAGTTTGGACTTATTGTAGAATTCTACAAAAAATACAGTAAATATGTATGTCTATCGATATTATTTATAAAAAATAAAAGAATTAGGCCTACATAGTACATATATCACATTTCAAAGTCGAGATCTCGATACCATGAAAATCAACGTAAAACAGGATTTTTCACTTTCTAAAAATATTTTCAACCCCTTAGGGTTTGTTTAAAATTTTCGTTTTACCCTCATTCGAAAGCCCTTAAAATTCGCTACAAGATGGCAAAAAATATTATTTTCCAGAAAAAATATTTTGGAAAGTAAATTTATTTAAAAAATGACAATTATATTTTATTTGCTTTTTTATTATCTTTGGGAAAAAAGTTTTTTTAAATCACTTTTTATAAATTTAAAAGAAAAAATTTTTTACTGTCCTCAATTAAAGTAAATATTCTATTTTTATTTAGAAGTTGAAGATTCAGGAATCGGCACAATAACCTAAAAAATAGGAAAAAATATGTTTGTACTGTCTATGTGTTTATCTGTCATCATTTTCCTTTTCTTCCCCTTCTCATAAATATTACAAAATCTATCATACCAAAACCAAAATATCATACCAAAACGAGCCTATATCACGAGTCCCCAGCTTTTATAATTAAAACCACTAACTCTACCTATTAAAATCTAAGTTTTACGTCTTTGCGATAGAAACCGGACTCGTGGTAGATCAGCTTGTCTTTCCTAATTTTTAAAGACTGAAAGACCCAGCCTTCCCGAAAACCTTACTAAGATTCTAAACATTAAAAAATCCGTAAAAAACAAATTTTTATGCGTCCAATCAATGTCGATATTCAGGAATCGGCACAATAACCTAAAAAATAGGAAAAGATACTCTGGTCAAGCTGACAAGGGACTAAAGTGAAGTACCCGGTTCTTCACTTTAGTATCATAAAATCCAGGCGAATAAAAAGCTCTACTTACACTGAATTACGCACGATATCGGGCCATAGTTTCTAACAAACAAAACCGAGTACTTATCGCGTAGATTGCTTGCATGAAAACGTGATTGGACTCATAAAAATTTGTTTAGACGCATGAACCAGTCATTGACGCTTAAACTTTATTGGAAGGCTGATAGGATGAGTAATCTGGACAAGCAAAAAATCCTCCCAAGAAATGCGTGTCAAAATAAAACAAACAAACCTCGACATAAGTGATTGGAAAAAATCCACTCCTTCCATCTAATGTACCTTCAAACCAATGCTCATCAATTTGACTATCAAGTTGTATTATTTGTCCTTCTATAAATAAAATTAACTTTTCTGAAAAAATTTCTAAAAAAATTTCAACATTTTTAATACAAAAGGGAGTTAGGTCCATCCATAGAGAGATCATTAAGACTTTAGTTGGTGACCGTTTTTAACGACTTTGGATCCACATATCATTCGATTACTCTGGTCAAGCTGACAAGGGAACATTGTTTTCTGTCAGTCCGAATCGATATATTTTTTGTTGCCATTCTATAGAGTCCTATTGCGAAGTCCGCTTTCTTTTTCATATTACACTATATTCACATTCCACAGAAGATTTCCCAAAATTTTCTCCCATTTTATTTTCAGAATCAAAAAAAAACCTTTAAAATCAAGCTCTCCCGGATTTAATGCTTGAAAGTCGTACAATGCTTTACATTTCCCTCCTTTTGAGACACCATTATTTGACTGCACATTTTCTATCGGTGAAGAATTATTCATCATAGGCATTGGACTTGAAATTGAGAGGCTTGCTAAACTGCTTCGTTCACCAAGATGCCTATTTGATATAGAAAAGAGAATTAAGAAAACATGTGATTTTTAAAACTTTGCACCCCTAGATAAGCCCTTGGAGGGTACGACGTCAAAAAGAACCAATATGAGGTGTCTTGGAACGGTACGACATTACAAAGTTCCTCCCCATTCTATTTTCAAGATATCAAAAAAACTAACGAATTAAGATCCGTCCTCGAGCCTTTATTTCTATCAAGTACAGGTCTAGGAACATGTTCTCTAGGTTGTCGATCATTTGTTTCATTTATTCTAAATTTAATTTTTTTTATTTGATTTAAAAAATATAACCTTGAATTAAGTTGTAATTTGAGATTTTCCAAAATATTTGCAGTTTGTTGATGAAAATTGAGTTGTGCATCTATCAGTGCAGTCAATTGACTAATCTGTTCAACCTAAAAATAAAGAATTTTACATAATACAAATTGTGCGCAAGTACTGTCCGCAAAATTTTGCGGACAAAAAATGCGGATTTAAGCTTCAAAAACAAACATCATTATTCAAAATGTTGAACATTGCCTTCTCAGTTAAACGTTTAGACTCTTCCAATTTTTCTTCAGCTTGAATTAAGTCATCTTCCTTTGTTTGTTTCCTTTTTTTAGCATCATAATCTAAACGTCGTCCTTTTAATTTATTCCTGTGACCCTTAAAAAAATTTTTTTTCGAAAATTAAAAAAATTCTTTTTACATTAAAATCTTTAAGTTCATTATTTTGAAAGTCAGTAATAGGATCAAGAAAATTGTGTTTAACAGTATCTTCAAGTTGATATTTTATATCTGCCATTTGACGAAAAGCATCAGCAGCATCACAAAGTGCCTTTAAAAATTTTTCTAATAAAAAAATTGGATTTCTTCAGAGGTCGGCCAAATTCAAACACTACTAACTGGATACGACCTTTTTCCTTTCTTCCATCCCAGTCAGAGGTGGGTCGGAACAGTCAGAGGTGTCGGAAATCGGAAGAACCGGAAATCGAAAGGAAAAAACGCCGGAAATCGGAATTCCGACCCACCTCTGATTCCAATTGCCTTTCTATTTTTTGCCTACAAATAATCAAAAAGGCTCAATGGTAATATTGAACCGGAAAATCGGGTCTGTAAAGTTCAATATTACCAAACAAAATCAGAAAATTTTTGTATAATAACCTTTCCAAAATCAGATTGGGAGCCTAAACCTCTTCCATATTTAGTCATTGTATCAGCTAGCATTCCCTCAGTTTGTGGATAAGCCTGACTTTTTGCTGACCCTCTAAGTTTTGAAACTGCTCCGAGAGTAGCTATTCTTGCTCTTATTGCTTGATAATTGAAAAGAATAATAAAAGAAATTGAGTAACAAAAAACCTGGATTAGGTTGTAAATATTCGTTTGTTCCAGTAACCAATTGAGTAATCAATTCATTGGTTAAGTCGACCTTCTAGAAATAAAAAAAAAATTTAATCTTTTTCACCTAAAAGTTGTTCAAAGAAAAGAAACCCTTTAGTTGGGTATAGCACCGGATTTTGCTCCGAAAACTTATAATTTGTTGGATTTGAAAATTCGCAAAGGCACAGAAGGTTCATATCAAGAATTATTGATTAGGACTGGTACCTTGTCTGTACCGAGATTAATCCTCCAAAGCTTCCGAAGATTAACCCTTCCCATGCTTTCTGAAGCAACCTAGGACTTTTGGTACTTTATGGATATGTCACCCCCCCTCCTATTTTGAGTCTCAGAGTTTTCCTTAAACGTAGAAAATGGTCAGAGATTATTTTCTTCTCCATGCCAATCATTTTTCTTTCTTCAAGCAAAATAAGTGAAATATAGTAGATGTAGAACCGAAATGAGTGAAATGTAAGTACAAAATATGCGAAAAGGCAAAGTAAAGAAGCAAAATGCTTGAAGAAGAAAAAAAATGATTGACATTGAGAAGAAAATAATCACTGACCATTTTCTACGTTTAAGGAAAACCATGAGACTCAAAATAGGAGGGGGGTGACATATCCATAAAGTACCGGACTTTTCAGTAATCCCAAAAAATACTAACAAAAAGTTCATACCCTTTCCATTTCATTAAATTCATCATCAAGTTTAGTTGCTTCTGCTGCTCCAACAGATTCACTAATATATTGATTTGCTTTATTTATAGTCTTTTTAATTGCAGAGAAGGACATTTCTAATCTTTTTTAACTGAAAAATTAAAAAAAATTTAAATAAAAGTAAACTACATTTAGAAGCAACATTCACCTAAAAATTTAAAACCCCAAACCCCCCCCCCCCCTTCTCATTTATTTGTTGGAAAAAATTAAAAATCTTTTTAAGTATTTAAATTAACAAAATTAAATAAAATTTTCCCAATTTTTATCCCATTTTAAGCCATTTTTGAGCCCAAAAAAGAAAAGGAAAAAATAAAATGACAAAAGTGGCCAATGAGTATGTGTACATATTATTTTTTTATCAATATGCTTATAGAACGGTTCAAAAAGAAAAAATAAGGGAGAAAGGAATAGAGGTGAGGGGAGAGTTTGGGGGGAAGTTATTGAAGAAAAATTGGTTGGTTAGAGGAATTTAAAAGCAAAAAAAATAAAAATAGAAGCAGTAGCTGTGATAGAATGACGACTAAAATGTGACAAGGGCTCTAATATTACACCCAAAATATCAACATTTGCAATTTAAGCCAATTTGACTCTTGTGTCGCTCAGCTCTCTCGCCGTTCAGTGAAAGACAGTGAAAGACTCAGCGAAGGACGAAATTGGCAACTGCCTCCCAAAATAACCCCCATAATCTCCAAAGAGCCTCAAAATCCCCAGACTCAAATAACCATCAAGATAAAAAGTTTGTTGATCTCATGGGTTATCCCTTTGTCCCACCCCATTTTTCTTTTAAAACAGCAGAATATAAAGAATGAAAAATATTGGCTATATAATATTGAGAAATTATATGTAGTTAAAAGAAATTCTCCCCCTTTACTTGGGCCAATTGGAAAAAAACAAACTGAAGATAGATTGGCAACCCAGCACCTTCAAAAAAACATTTAAAGTGGGGTGCTTTTAAGGGCACTTTGAAAAGGAAATTATTCTTTTTCAAACGCCTTTTTCTTTGGCAAAATAAAAAATATTTTTTAGTTAATCAAAAAATCAACAAAAATAGGAAAAAGAACCAAAGTCAAATGTCAAAATCAGGACATTTTAAGCACTGACCCAAATGAGAATTTAGGCCCCCAAAACAAGTCCTACCCCAAAAATTATGCAAAAAACATCGAACAAACCTAAAATAAAATTGCCAAGTTTAAAATCAAAATGCCAAAATGGTCACATAAATTGAAAAAATCTGAATAGCTCTTCTTAAAAAATTTTAGTTTTATATAAAAAATTTATCTAAAAAATCATTATAAATATTTTAAATAAGAAATATTATTAATTAATTTAAAAAATAAAATTATAAAAATAAATTTTTATTTGTTAGCATTTTTAGAAAATAAACATACACGCGCACACGTTTTTTGTTTTCTTTTTTTTTCATGATTATAAAAAGGAGAAAAAATTTTTATTTAAGTGTCAATGGAATATTTTTTTATTAGGGTTGCCGTTGATGGGTGGTTTTAAAATTTGGTGACTCATTGTCAGAAATATCACGGGTTGAGGAAAAAAGTTGGGACAGCTCTCGAGTTAGGTTTCTAAATTTTCTTCGGATCCGGTTTCGAGTCACAAAAAAAGTCCGGATTTCGAATTTCGGGTTTTTTCGGGGGCTAAATTTGCTGTAAAAGGTGAATAGCCAACAGAAACACTTGTTTATTAACCGCCCTCCGTTCCAACCCTAATAAAAAAAAGTCATGTATATTTAAAAATTTTGCTACAGAAACAGGAAAAGGAGAAAGGGGAAAAGCAAGTTTTATATATAGAATATAATTAGAAAAAAAGTGAACCTCTTAAATATTCTTTTTTAATTTTAATCCCTCATCATTTAGAAAAAGCTTCAAATACAGCATATATCACATCTGTAGCATTAGCACTAGGTGTGCCCATCTTTTTGGCACTTTCAGCTTCATAATCGGTCTCTAATAATGTCCTAACACGTTTCATTGCCAATTCATAATCTGTTAAAAAATTCGATATTCTAATTAGTCAAGCTGTCCAAGACTCTTGGTCTTGATTCCAAAACAAAAAACCTTGGTCATTTAACGGAGAAAAAGCATTTTCCAAAACATCGCTAGCATGAGCCAAAATTATTAATGAAAGCATTTTTTTATCCATCCGTTGAACATCATTCGTCCATCTTGTTAAAACTGATTCTTGTACTTTCTAAAATTAGATTGGTTGTTATATTTTGGTATATCTCCTCCCTCTTTTCTTGATTCCAGTGATTTTTTCGAGTTAATAAAAATTCAAATATAATGATAAACTATCATTATATCTATTTTTACAGTTTCGTAGTAGTTTGGGGGTAATGGCTACCTGGTTTCAATCCTTTTTTAATCAATTATGGATAGACGTTAAAATCTAAAATGGGAACATTACCTACTTTGACTCCCTCTCCCCATTAAGAAATGACTTTCTTTTTCTAGCAAAATGACTTTGGACCGAGTTATGGGAAGTCAAACTTTCGGGTTTTTGGAAAATTTTGGATGTTTCAGACCAAGACATAATTCATGAACTGTAATAAAGACTCATAAATCCTTAGATTTTTGTTCTGGTTGAAACCGATAGCCTAACCCAAAAAATTCAAAAACCACCAGAATCTGATTTTCAATAAAAATTGGTAGATGAAAAACAAAGTATTAAAAGAAACTTTAATCAATTTCGCTTTAATTCCTGAATCATTGAGCGGATGTGTAGTCATATCAAAGAGCAAAAAGTTTTGTTTTTCTGTTGTCAAAACTCCCTTTTCGACTAAATTCTTGGCTAATCTAAATTTAAAAAAAATAAATTTTTATTCCATCAAAAAAACCTTTCACGCATATTCCTAATTTGATAACGCAATTTGAGAGGATTCCATGTTTCTCCACTTAAAAATTAAAATTGGTAATATTCAATTTCGTACTAGGGACGTAACGGGGTGAGAAAAAAATCGGGTTTCGGGTACAAAGCATCTTAAACCTTCATTATCACCTTTATTTATTTTTAAAAAATAATCCAGAAATCAAGGTTAAATCCAGAACAAAAAAATCCAGGATTTTTCCTGGATCCAGATCAAGAATCCTGTCAAGGTTGCTAACCTAAATCCAGATCCAGACTTTTTGAAAATACCGATCTCTATGTATTACAAACCTTGTTCTATGACAATAAATATACTACTTATCCCTTATACCACACCCCCTCAAAGTAGTGTCCAAAATGTCATATATGGGGTAATAAAGGGTGCTGATCACGATTATGGTGTTTATTTCTCAATATAAGAACCCCCTCACCCATAAATTGTCATGGTTCATAATGGTCAAACTTCAAGTTTTTATTTAAATAAATACATATATAGGTATGAGCAATATTAATGCACTAATATTTATTTTGCACTTATATTTATTAATGCACTAATATTTAATATTTATTTTCTGTGTGATTATTGGACGTTTAATGAGTATATAAACGATTTCATTCATTTGAACCCATAATAATAAAAATAAATAAAAAATGCCCTATAATTACGACACACTAATGGGGGGATGTCCTGATGAATCAAACGCTGCAAAATTTTTTCAAAATTGCGGTTTGCTTCATACTGAACGTTTCTGCCATTGTGGTAGTCAAATGCGTCCAAACTTGAAGTTTGACCATTATGAACCATGACAATTTATGGGTGAGGGGGTTCTTATATTGAGAAATAAACACCATAATCGTGATCAGCACCCTTTATTACCCCATATATGACATTTTGGACACTACTTTGAGGGGGTGTGGTATAAGGGATAAGTACCATACCCAGCTTTGCTTTTAAGAAACTGTGGTCCGGTATTGTGTGTGTAAAAAGTCAAGACTTTTTTGGGCTAGAATGAACCGATTACAAGTAGAAAATAAAGAAGAGTGAAGTCGAGAAAGGAAGTCTGACCATTTTTAGTACTTTGGGAAAAAAGAGTGAGGGAGGTATTAAATGAGGGATATTACATATGGTAAGATAATTAAATTTAAAAAAACCTCAAATATTCTACCCAACAGACAACTGACTCGTTTTGATTCGTTTCCTTAATGTGTTTAATTGCTTCATCCAAAATAACATCACCCGTTGGTTTATCGCTTTTTAAGAGCACCTAAATTCAAAAGAAAATATTATAGAAATAGAAAATTATGGTACTTGTGCGTCATCCAAAATAATTTTTGCGGAGATGAGCTATGTATCACTTTCGAATGGGCTATCATTCGTAAAATCGAATTTTTATCTAATTGTAAGATTAAACATTTTGAGCCTTTGTAACCTATAGTTTCTGACCACGAATAAATGCCCGCAAAAAACTGGTTCAGGATAACCCACAAGTACAAAAATTATTTACTTTACGAGAAGAAAAACCCCTTTTGCGAACGCCAGCCTTTTCAAGTTCAATTCGATTCCTCAAGGCAAGTTCAATTAAAATACAGCCACGCAACCCACTGCTTATACAATCATTCCAGAAAGAAGTGTAGCCCTATTAAATATTTTAAATATTAACGCCAAGGGTGACCTAGATTGGAAGGGACAACTTACAACCTACATATGAAATATTTTTCTATTTTTAAAAATATTTTTTTCCAAGTAATATGCTAAAAAATAAAATTTGAGGCGGCTTTAAGACCAAAAATAAGAACAAGTTTCTTTTCGACCCAGTTCCAAGAAAGCTCTTATCAGGATTAAAAGCAGAGAAAGGCCGAATTACCCGATATCAAGGGCGTAGCCAGTCAAAGTTTTCGCCTGCGGCGCTGAAAAAGTAAAAATTGAGGTACAAAAATTTGCGTTCGGAACGCTAAAGTGAACGCCAAGATTTTGCCGCACATTCAATTTTAGCCCTCCCCCGAAGTCGACCCCCTGACTACGCACTTGCCCAAACTTTTTTCGACCTGAAACAAATCCGAAGTTTTAAAAAACACAATCACTCTAAACCCGGCCTATTCCTCATTTAAAAATGCCCAAGTAATCGAAATAAAAACCTCTCTGTCCTTCAGTCCCAACAACAAAATTTCTTCCATTAAAGTTAATCGCTGAATTTTATCATTATTTTCTGTATCATCCTCTTCATTTGGCTGGTTGTCGTTCTGCTCAATTTCGTTTGCCTTCAAAATTTTTAAAAACTAAAAAATACCAACAAAAAACCTGTTCAACATCTTCCACAATTTTTCGCCTTCTTTGAACTAAACCTTCAGACATTTTTTTATAGATAGCGTTTTTTAAAATAAAATTAATGTATGTAAATATTTAAGGAAATTGTTAAAACATTTCTAATTGAAAACAAAAAAAAACAACTCCGTACCCCCTCCATCTTTTCCTTCCTCAAAGTACCAAAATGGTCAGACTTACTCTATTCGATTAAGTACCCGTTCTGCTTTATAGAACCTATTGTCCGGTATTCTGTTTGTTTATCATAATTTTGGATTAATAGAACTGTTACACATTTAAAAGCTTTTTGGGAATAATGTAGGCAGTGTAGGGTACATGCACTTAGCTTTGGCAAGGTTCTAAAAACCAGATCGGGACATTTAAGGCGTAGAGTTACTAGGAAGGTAGCAGATCTAACCATTTTCTAATGCGAAAGGAAAGGAAGAGGAGGGGGGTGGGATACGAAATTGGATTTTACCAAAAGAAATTTAAAAGATTTTGTGGCTCGAAACGGTAAAAATTATTAAATCAAATAGAAAATCGTTTTTAAAGCAAAAAAACTTTCCAACAAATAAAATCAAAAATGTGTGAATGAGAACGTTTCAAAGGCTTTTTGCCAACAACGCTATTTTAATATTATAACCCCCCTTTTCTCGCTTGCAATCATTAAAATAGAAAAATTAAAAAAAGGGAAAATCACGTCGACGCATTCGGGAAAGAAAAGGGAAAAAGAGAATCGATTTTATATTGGATTAATGAAGATATTTATGGGATAAAAAAAAGTTATAGTAAATATAAAATATATGTGATTTATTAAATCCTAAAATAGAATAAAAAACAAGACAAAAAAGCTGGCATTATAAAATCTCAAGTCCGACCCTGTAGATCAACGCTGTGTTTTAGTGGTGATCTAAAGGGTGAAACTTACTATAGACCCATAAAATCACCACTAGAAGAGTGTGGTGATCTTATGGGTTAGTCTAACGGGCGTTTTGGCGCAAGACAATATGACGTAAGCGATATTTGTTTGATTGACATTTTGGTCCATGGTGGTCCGTAATATAAAGGGTCGTATAACTCTAGAGATTTTTCTGGTTAAATTTACATCAAAGATCTAAAATATAAATATTTTTAATTCGTCATTTTATTTATTTTTTAGGGAGAGAAAAAAATGGGCCCTATCTGAATAAGAGGGCGCTTTGATTTTTTTATCATTTTTTTCCTACCTTAATATATAAATAATGGTTAGTCTTTTCTTCCTAGTCCGATTCCACTCGTTTTACCTGTGGCATATTCAAATGAGAGGACAGACAAAGCACAAACACCCGGACAGACAATAAACGGGCGTTTTCTGTCCGAGTCCGCCCGTGTTTTGTCTGTCGGTGTCCGTCTGTGTTTTGTGCCATCGTGTTCATCCGTCTTTTATCTGTCTGTGTTAGTCCGTGTTTTGTTTACTGTGTTCGTCCGTGTTTTGTCTGTCCGAGTCCGTCCGTGGTCAGTCTTTTCTTCCTCTTTGAATCCGTCCATGTTTTGTCTGTCCTCTCATTTGAATATGCCACAGGTAAAAAGAGTGGAATTGAACGCGAAAGAAAAGACTGACCATTATTTATATATTAAGGTAGGAAAAAATAATGAAAAAATCAAAGCGCCCTCTTATTCAGATAGGGTCAAAAAATGTTTTTAATTTTAAAGTTATGAATGATTTTATTAAATGGTTGGAAAGTGATGGAAATATTTTATTTTCAAATGTGGATATTTGTTTGATTGACAAATCTGTTGGTTATGGGTTATTTGCAAAAGAGAATGTTAGATTAAATGAAGTTTTGATTAAGGTATGTTTTTTTAAAGTTTTGGGATTTGGGGAGCATGGGTGTGTGGCAGTTTCGTGTTTCGCCTTTTACCGATTTTCGTCTTTTTTTGGAGCTTCGACTTTCGTGTTTTGATTTTTAGATCTAATTTCGTTTTGTTCCCTTTCGTATTTCGCTTTTTTAAAATATGGAGTCTTGCAAATATTTTTGCAGACTTTTCACCTATTTTCGATTTTTTTTCCTATTAAAGTTTTTTTTTTCAAATAATTGTATGTATTTCGCAACATTTCCATTTAATCCTTTAAATAATCTCGGTCCTATAATCCTCTCTAAATAATCGAATACTAAAGGGAAACAGAGACATATAGTGGAAAAATCTGCAAAAGAAATCTGAAGAACAATCCACTCTTTTATAAGTTCTTCTAAAGTTTTACTTTTTCAGATTCCAGAAAAATATATTATTACTGCAGATTTTGTGTCCAATATTAAAGAATATTCAGATATATTAAACAGGTTTTTATTTGACTGTTTTATTTTTTCAGTTATTTGGGTTCTGTCCGTAAAATTTGTCCGAAAGAATTTTTTTCTTTAAAAGCAATTCTTTTTTTAATTTTTGTTAGTTTTTTAAGGAAACAGGAACGGAGATTTATTAAAAAAAGAAGGTGAAATAACTCCTCGGTAGCTTGCATTTGTAAAAACATAATTGTAAGTGTGGAGGGGTGAACGAAAGCTCCTCTTTGCCTACCAGTAAATCGCGTCTGCCAGGGGCTAAACTTTTTACCTCTCTCTTACTCAAGCTTCTTTGTTCACCTATATTTGTCTAATAAATCCCAGCAAGTATCGAAAATTTTCAAGCACCGGTCTTTCTGTTGAATTTGCGGATATTTTCCTCATCTGCAAATAATTTTATTCAATTTTTAAAGATTTGTTTTTGATTTTTCCGAACTGTTAGCTCTTTTCTTTGCTTTTGAACGGGTATATCTTGATTATTTTTGCAAACAATTTGGGTCTTTAAACGATGGGACTGCTTATTTTGTGCAGTGGACATTGGAAATGCCCAATGGATTTGAACAGTTTTTGGATTGTAGGAAAAAGTTGATGAATGAAAAACGAAATGAAAGCGATTTTTGGTTTGGTTTTTAAACTTATTCAGAAAAATTTCAAAAAAATTTTTTGTCCGCAATAATTTTTGCGGATAAATTTTTCGTCTGCAAATTTTTGGGCCATTTTTAAAGAATTTTTATTAGGTGGAAGTCGTATATAGGCATTCTTCCAAGAAACTTTTCAACTCCGTTATTTATTTATTATTTAAAAGAAAATGGACAGGCTAAAATAAAAGAAATTGCCTGTCAATTGCCTATTGAAACAAAAGAAAAATTGTTAGGACAATTGGATGAATTAATTGTTTTTGAAGAAAAGGTTTCTAATTAAATTTTAATTTCTGTCCGGGGACTATGATTCGATATCTTTGTTTTATTCCATTTAGCGACATTTTGACGAATGTCACAACTGTCAATCGCTTGACATTCCGGAAGCGATTGGCAACTGAAGTCAAGTGAATGTTGGCTGCAATATTTTTGTGTACTTTCCCTGTTAAACGGGTGGCGAGGGAAATGTTCACAAACATTTAAATTCTTCAAGCAATTTCTGACATTTTTTCAGTTTTTTAAATTGCTTCTTAATTCATCCGAGGAGGATGCTTCTCAAATTGCTAAAGAACTTTCTCAAGACTCGATAATTTTTTGGAGAGAAATTTGTTGTTGGGCATGGCATATAGTTAATACAAGGTTTTATTTAAATTTCTTAAATTTTTAATTAATTTTTAGAAGCATTTTTACCGAAAATTTGTCTTTACACTCGGTTGATAAACAAAAAAGTTATGATAAAAATCAGAAGAATTGCTCAAAAAAGAAAATAGATGAAGAAAATTTTGGAGGCTCACTTGCATTAGTACCTTTGGTTGATATGTTGAACCACAGTCCTGATGCTTCGGTTTATTTTCAATTTATTGATGATTAGGGTTTGCAGATTTTTGGCCGTAATAGCAAAATATTGTGACTTATAAACTTATAAATGCTGCCGAAATATAGTTAAGAGGAAATTACGTCGTAATACCAAATAAATACCAAATTGCTTAAAACATTCCCCCAAGCTTCCCCTTTTATTGGAATATCATCGCTTGTCGTTGGTTTGGTATTACGGGCATACTAAAAAATATTACCGAAGTTAGCAAGATTTCCAGGCTCCCAAAAAGTCTACAAGCTTTGTCCGCAGACTTCTGTTATTATCATTTTTTAGTGTGTCCCATTTTTCGACAAAAAGATGGGCTTCTTCAAAGTTATCGCAGAGCACCATTCTATTGTGGCTGGACAACAATTGTTTTTTAGAAATTTTTTCAAGTTTTTATATTTTTATTAATAGATTTTTCTGTTATGGTGCTCATAATAATGACCAACTTTGGATAGAATATGGTTTTAGACTTTTGGAGAATCCTTTTAATCGTGTGAATATTTCAATAGGTTTGTTTGTTTTTTGGTTATAAATTTTTTCGTGACAAATCGCAGTCCGACAAATTCAATTTTAGAGATTTTTGTTTGCGGATAAAACGAGGTAATTTTGAGACATCTAAAACAGCGGTTCCAAACGTTCCGTTTCCAAGAACCATCTTTCTTTTCTTACAAAATGTCATTTAAATAATTGAAAGAATTGGAAACTTCAACTTTTTACTCTTTCTAATTTAGATTTGTTCGTTGTTTTAGCTGAACGTTGTGGACAAAAAGTTGAATCAGCAAGAAGAGAAATTCTTAAAAAGGCTCGTCTACCTTGGTAAAATTTTTAATTTTTATTTAACTTAATTCTGATAAATTTTTAAGTACAATTTATGCAACTGATGAAATTCCGAGTTTTGCACTTCGTAAAAATTCTTCTATTTTATTGATGAAAAAATCAAAATTGTTTGTTTGGTTCTTTTCTTCTCACAAGAAAAGTCCGCAAGTTTTTCCACAAGTAAAAAATTTCAATGCGTCTTTTTAGTTTTTTGAAATTTACTACAAATATTGTTGATTCCCTTCAAAATCCTTCAAAACATTCTCTTCTTTCTTCTCTTTTTTGTAAAACCTTTCTGATTACTAAAAAACACTTATTAAAAAATACCTTTATTTTCGGTATTAGAACTTTTTGAAAAACACTGCTTTCCACATCGTCACACATTTTTGGGTACAATTTACCCAAAACTGTTTTCCGCAACACAGTTTTGGGTACAATTTACCCAAAACTGTTTTCCGCAACACAGTTTTGGGTAAATTTTTAATACTCGTTCGAATAGGCACATCTATATCCAAAATTCGGAGGACTGAAACTTTCATTGTCATAAAAATAAAAGTTGCGGACAAAATTTGCGGATTTTTGGAAGGATATTTTAATCAGAAAAAATTATTTTCAGATCAAATTGGAGTCAATATCTTTTTTCTGATGAAGAAAATGAATATGATGAAGAAGGAATTTTAACTAGTCCAGAAATAAAATTAATTGTATCGATTTTGAGGAAACTTGAAAATGCCCTTATTGCAAGAAGAAATGAATGCTTGATGGAGGAAATTTGTGCATCCTGGGATGATCAAATACAAATATTAAAAAGGATGTTAATTAAATATTGAATGTTTATCTAAGTTTGTTGATTTTATTTAAAAATAGAAAACCCTCACTTGTAAGTACGCCCTTCACTTTAAGGTTATGGCCTCTCTTGTAAGCAGAGGTGGCGCTGGGTTGAGAAAAAATCGAGTCGAGTTTCGAATCGGGTTTTCAAAATTTTCTTCGAAAAGGGTTTCGGGTGAAGTCCACAAGTGAGGTCCAACTATCGAACAATAGATATAAAATGCTTTTTTGATTAATTACTTACTATTTAAAAGAAATTTTAATAAATTCAAATTTAGTATATTTAAATTAATTTTTTGATATTTAATCATATTTAAATTTTATTTTTTTAAGAAAATGATTTTAGGAGAATTCCAAAATGGTTGATTAAATTTTTATTAAATTTTTTTTGAAAAAAGTGCTTGGGATGAGGAATAGACTTAATTGTGGAGAAAGGGAACATGACCAGCTTGAAGGTTTGGTTTTTTTAATTGTCCGGGTTTCGTGTCATTACTGAGCGATTTGAAGGGGATAGGGATAAAACTTTTTTTTATATTTCCTTTAATTTGTGTCTACTCTAATTATCTATTCAACGACCTCCAGAAATTTTTTTTTGTTTAACTAAAATATATGTACTAACTCGTTTATCCTCCCAAAAATTATCTACTAGTTTCCTCTGTTTTTATTGTCCACATTTCTCTCCTCTTTTGTTGTTTTTTACAACAAAAAACAACAAAACAATTCGCGCGGCGCTAACAGAGAGGGAGAAGAAACATCTTTTTGTTGTCCATTCTTTTAGTCCAAAAATTTTGTGAAGGTATTAGAATACACAATTTATCTATTTCCTATTTGTTGTACAACAACGAAGAATATACCTATATTTTAAAACATTTACAAAGCCTGTTGGTGGGTGAGGGATGGTCGTTTTATTGAAATTAATATTTTTTTAGGTAATTGTGCTGTCCGCAAATCTTTTTCTGCGGACTAGGTTTGTCCGCAGCTTTTTTGCAGACTGGGGCTTTCAGCAAATTTATTGAGAATTTTTGCTAACTTTTCCAAAATTTTGCTTGCATTTGCGAATTGAAATTTTTGTCTAAAATTTTTTCGATTGCTTGACATCTCTGCCCTTTACCCTAAAAATTTTTCTCACAAAAATTTTCCAAAATATTTTTATTTGTCTATATTCTCATTAATTTAAAATATTCCCACACAGATAAAAAAGCTATTCAATAAAAATAAGTAAATTTCTTGGAACGCATCTCGTGATGAAATTGTCACACTTGCCTAGTTTGGAAGGAAAATAGGCACACTTCTTTTCTCTCTTTAGCTAATATATTTTTATTATTTTTTTCAATGTGTGTTTTGTTTTTGTCTCTAACACATTTAACAATAAATAAACACTTTTTGGAGGTACCCATAAATTTATTATTTTATGTCCAGATGGTTTTGGGGTCCTTTTCTTCTTTTTAATATAAATAATGTGTTTATTGTTAAACTAAATTTTATTTCTGGTCATTTAAAATAACCGAAAATCATCGGGTAAAATTTTTAGAAATTTTAGAGAAAATCACATTTTTGCGGACAATTTGTGTTAGCCGCAAATGTTGCCCTTGTACATATTATCCAAAAGTTGTCCGCAAACATTATCTGCGAAGGTTATCCGCTACTTTTTTTGTCTGCAAATTTTGTTTTGGAAAAATTGTCCGCAAATGCTTTCCACATTTTTTTTATCAATTAACATTTCCTTTATTATATCTCTATTTTAAAGCTATTTTTATCCTTTAGAAATATTATTTTTGGTTCTCGCTTTTAAAAAAATACACAATAAAAATTATTTATTATTTCAGATCGCCCTCCTCATTTTTCTTCTTCATCCGACAACAACAAAAACAGTTTTATTTCCTCCAACTGTTTTAAAAATAATGTTAAAACAATGAAGTCTTCTCCTTCCGGTCAAGATGTAAGCTCCCCAACTGCTGCCGGTGTTCATTTCATTTCTCCATCAGAGCGACGTCGAGAAGATAATTCTTCTAGTAATGTTGGGTTTTTTATAAAACGTCGCTGGCGCTGTATTTTTGGGGCTCTTTCTGCTTTACTGATGGCTACTGGTTTGTTTTTTTGTTATTTTAGTAGTTAAAAGACTTTGACCCTATTTATTCCCTATTTACAAACCCTATTTACAAATTTTTGTTTGCGGACAAAAATTTGTCGACAATCTTTTTTGCAGACAAAAAACTTTGTTCGCAATTTTTTGCGGACTGATTTTTTGTAGGACTTGTCCCCAATGTGTCGATTAAAATGCTCTTAACCAAAAAATGTAGGCTGCTAACCTTTTTTAAATTTTAGCTGTAATCGTTGGTAGTTTCATTCTCTTTATGATTTTGATGAGTGAGGCAAAAAGAAGAGCAAAAACAGAAGAAACGCAATATTTAAAAGGATTAGTAGATACAATTAACAATTCATCAGATGTTAGATGGAAAGCTCGTTTTAACCCGTTTGGCATTCGTGTTCAGGATTTTAGCCACAAAAGTTTAAAAAATTTGACGGCAATAAAAGAATATGTTGCACATTTGGAAAGGTTTTTTGATTCTCCAAGAATGAAGGAACATTTAAAGTAAGGGGATTTTATTTTTAAAGGGTTTTATTTGAAAAAAGTTCCGAAAAAAATTCCTCATTTCTTTCATTCTGTCTTTACTAGAAAAATTAGAAAAAGTCCGCAAAAATCCTTTACAATTTTGTCAGCAATTACCTATTGTCCGCAAATGATTTTTCGGACAGAAAATTTTGCAAATGGGCAAGGGCGATGCTTTTTGTGGACTTGATGCTTTTTTAACAGAAAAAGTCCGTAAAATTGTTTTGTCCGCAAATATTATCCGCAAAAATTAATTCTGTAAAATTTTTTGTTTTTCTGTAATATCCTAACAAATTTAATCTTCAACAGAGAATTGGAAGATTTTCCTGATTCAAAGCTTCCTCGACATTTTGATGCTCGGGAAAAATGGTCATTATGTCCAAGTATTCACCAAATTCCAAATCAAGGTGGTTGTGGCTCTTGTTATGTAAGGATATCTTTTTATTTTTGTCCGCAAATTTTGTCTGAAAATTAATTTTTAATTATTTTTCAAGGCTGTTGCTGCAATGACTGTAGCTGCTGACAGAACATGCATTCTCAGCAACGGAACGAAAAAATCACAATTATCAGCACTTGATGTAATTGAATGTTGTTCTGTTTGTGGAAATTGTTTTGGAGGAGATCCTTTAAAAGCAATGGTCTATTGGGCTTTAGAAGGTGTTGTGACTGGAGGTCCAGATGGCTGTCATCCATACACAGTCAACGCTGAATGTGGCACTCCATGCAGTCCTCAAGTATATGGAATTGAACAACAAAAACGTTTTTGCCGAAGAGATAAATGCCAGCCTGGTTATTATCGAAATATAAATTATGAGGAGGACAAACAAAAAGGTTAGTCATTGTATAATATATAAATTTAATCCCTCCCTAATAAGGTGCTTGAGTTGATACTGGATATAGTTTATAGCAAATTTTGTCCGCGAAAAATTTTCTTCACTAATGGTCGGTAAAACTACAGTTTTAGGGTTACAAGTTTAGATAAAAAAAGTTTCGAACGTGGCGGAGTTCAGCATGAATAAAAATTGAAAAATGCAAATAAAATAGGAAATGGGGCAGGATTCCAGAAAATCCTGTATGCGATCTCGACCCACTTTTGACCTCTACCCAAAGGCGTAGCCAGGGGTGCTTCTGGGGCTATAGCCCCCACTCCTGAAATGGGGAAAAGGGAAAGATATTGGGAGAAAGATGATGGGAAAATTTAAATTGGTTCGCTTACGACCTTCAAAATTCTCCAAATTTTCGCCTGCGGCGCTGAAAAAATAAAAATATGTGTACAATAAAATTTGCGTTCAAACTGCCAGCGTTCAAACTGCCAAAATTTTTGCGCACACCACATTTTAGCTCCCCTAAAATCGACACCCGGGCTACGCCCTTGCTTCTACCCACATAAAAATTTGGAAAAATCGTGGTACAGACTTGGTATGCTTGAGTCATGACATCCTTTGATAGTTTATTCCAATTTATAAATAGGGGATCAAAGTTTTGTCCGCAAGTTTTGCCGCAAAAAATTTTCCATCTTTTTTAGGTTCAATAGCTTATACACTCTTCCCACGAAAAATGAGTATTGACCAAGCAGGTAATAAACGAGTAATGCTACCTTCCGTAATTGGTCATTTCAATAAAACTTTAAAAGGAAATTTGGACAGAGACAAGGTTTTTGAATTTATTTTAATAAAAAATTTTTTTTAAGATTAGAAATATTATTCGAAAAGAACTTATTACTGTTGGACCGACAACTTTAGCACTTCCACTTACCGAAGAATTCCTTCATTATGACTCAGGTTTGTGAATAATTTTATTTCTTAATGAAAAATGGTTTGTCCGAAAATGTAGGTAAATATGTCCACAAACAAGTGTGAAAATGTGTCCGCAAAATACAAAATAATTTTGCGGACAAAAAATTTCTCAACTAGAAATATTAACTGATAGGATGCGAGGTTTCAGGCCAGCATAAACCATACTAGAATAATTTAAAATGTATCTAAAAAAAATTCACGTTTAGAATTGTTTAGTAAGAATTTTTTGGACAATTAATATTTTTTGAATTTTATTTCTTTTTTAGGTATTTTCCACCCATATCCAGAAAAAGATTTTGAAAATCGAATAATATATTGGCATGTTGTTCGATTAATAGGTTGGGGGCATGATGAAGAAGATAGACTTTATTGGATAGCTGCAAATAGCTTTGGAGAGCAATGGGGTGAAAATGGTAAGGGGAATTTTTTTTTGAATTCTTTTTAAAATCAATCAAAAATTTTGGCTGTATCGGAAAATAATGCCGGCATCCAATTTTTCCTTTCCTCCTCGAATGGGGGAGAAAAAGTTAACTTTTCAGCTGTAGTATAGTAAACCGGTGGTAATGTAACTTTGTATAAACTTGTTAAATCGCGTTGATTTTGGTGTCATTCGACTCAGTTCGACTAGCTCTTTCGAATGAACTAACATTTGTATATTCGAATTTTTTTATCCAAAATTCGCCCCTGTAGTTCTTCAATTTTCGGGGGCCTATATCAAGGTCCACAGAGTTAAAAGACACCAAAATCACCGTGATTGAATAAGTTTGGACTAAGTTACCTTACCACCGGTTTACTAAACTACAGCTGAAAAGTTAACTTTTTCTCCCCCGTTCGAGGAGGAAAGGAAAAATTGGATGCCGGCATTATTTTCCGATACAGCCAAAATTTTCCCTGTATACTACAAAAAGTCCGCAAGTTTTATCCGCAAATCTATGTATCAAAAAATAGAGTTCGACACTGTTTGGAATACTGACCGGGTCAAGGGTTTTCAGGTCGGGTTCAAACTGACCCCGCCTCGGGTCAGTTTGAAAAACCCCGGTTACCGGACCTGGCAATTTGAAAATGTCAAACCCTAAAGAATAGATGACTTGCAGATAAAGCTTGCGGACTTTTTCAAAAAGATTTTCACAAAAAATTTTTCAGGTCATTTCAAAGTAGATACCAGCCTATTGGAAAATTTTGGTTTAGAATACGAAGCGGGACTTTAACAGAACAAAATTTGTGTGGCAACATAAAATTTTTAAATATAAAATCCCAAAAAAATTCTTTAATGTATTGTTTTAATTTTTCTGTTTTTCTTTTTAATTTTGTCTTTTTTAATGGGGAAATTTACCTCAATTTTAAATAAAAATTTAAATGTTTAAAAATAAATACTTTAAATAATTATATGTACAGGGTGCGGCAAATTGGCCGCCCCTTTTGTTTTTGCCATAACTTTTTTCAAAGTCAACCAAAATGGATAATTCTTTTTTTATTTTATTCCCAACACTCTAGGAAAATTTTTGGTACCAACCAATTGAAATTTAGTTAAGTTTTAGTAAGGATATACCCGTCCGAACATTTAAATGCGTAAAAAACATTTTTTATGACAAAGTTTACACAGTCATAACTTTGCTCAAAGTCGTCCAATCTTACTAATTTTGGTACCAATCGACTTATCTCATTGAGGAGCATCGAAATATCCCAGAAAAACATTTTTGAAAATTTCGACTAAAAAATTGAAATTTAACACTTATATTCTAATTTATCTTTAAAAATTCATATCTCAGCTCATGGACTAGATAAGAGTTTTGTTTAACCATTATTCGAATCAGTTTGAAGAGCTTATTCGAATGACATAAAGTTTTCAAATATAGAAATCTTAATATTGAGCACAGGCCAACTTTTATGAAAAAAATTTTACTCAAACTTTGAAGGAAAATTAAGCAGGCTAAACCTTAAAATTTAAAACAAATTTTAGCATCAAAAATTTTCCTAGAGTGTTGGTAATAGAATAAAAAAAGAATTATCAATTTTCATCAATTTTAAAGAAAGTTATGGCAAAAACAAAAGGGGCGGGAAAGTTGCCGCACCCTGTATTTTATAATTTTGTGTTTAATTGTGCTTTTGAACTGGTTGTGGTGATCATTGACTGGAGGCCTGAAAATAGGAAGAAAAGTCCGCAAAAAAAAGTCCGCAGAAAGGGCACCTCCATCTTCATAACCTATTTTTTTTATTAAGAGAGGGGGGGGGGTGCTGACAAGGAACCATATCGAACTGTCAGGAAAAATTTTCAAATAAAAATTATACCATCGTGTAGAGCATGTAAAAAAACCTCATACGTATTTTTTCTTTTTTGGCCCTAACCCCCATTTCGAAAAGTTATAGGGCTTCAAAGTTTTCGAATTTTGGAGCGGTTGAGTCGCCCCCATAAAGAGAAAGTTTTTTTTTATTAAGGAAAAAAATAAGACTCCCATCTTCCTTTTCTCCTTTCCTTTTCTTTTCCCATGTTTGTTAAAGAAAGAGAAAAGGAGGAGAGAGAAAAGAAAAGGAAAAGCTACTCTGCCGTCTCCTCTTTCGTTTTTAATCCGCAATGGAAGAAAGGCAGAGTAGCCTTTTCCTTTTCTTTTCTCTCTCCTCCTTTTCTCTTTCTTTAACAAACATGTGAAAAGAAAAGGAAAGGAAAAATGGAGAAAAGGAGTCTCATTTTTCTCCTTGGAAAGCAAATAATAAGAAAAGTTAGGGCGACTCAACCGCTCCAAAATTCGAAAACTTTGAAGCCCTATAACTTTTCGAAATGGGGGTTAGGGCCAAAAAAGAAAAAATACGTATGAGGTTTTTTTCCATGCTCTACACGATGGTATAATTTTTATTTGAAAATTTTTCCTGACAGTTCGATATGGTTCCTTGTGAGGATTTTTCATAAAAGTATTTTCGAAGATTGATTTGGTGATGGGTTTCTCCAAAAAAAGATACGGACTTTTCTATTTGGACTTTTTCCAGTCCGCAAAAATTTTGCGGACTTCCCGCGTGTGGGCGTGAACTTTTTAAAAAACTTTCCCGAGGCCCTCCCCCCTCCGCTCGAAAATAAACTTAAAAATAAACCCTCAAAATAATAAACCTGTTGTTCTTTTGCATCCTTCTTCCTTTCAGCCCTCATCCTTTTCAATTTCAAATCCTTTTTAAGTGCATGTTTAAAAGTAACATATAAAGGTTCCTCTACTTGTACAGCCCTTCCTTCACAAAAATCGTCTTCCAATTTTTCGCGAAAAGTTTTTTCACGTTCTTTGACAAACCGAATAACTTCAATTCCTTTGTCCCAAATATTTGATTGAAATCCTGTTTTGACTTTTTCTGTTTGTGGCATTCGAATATTTTTACTGAGAGAGCCAAACTTGAAAGGAAGAAAAGGATTATTTTAGAAATTTATGCAGAAAAAGTATAAAGAGTTTGGATTTAGTTTAGCTGAGGGCCCGCTAGAAATTTTGATTGGACTTATAAAACCACTAAGAGCTGTTTTTCTGCTTCCTAAATTTTTCCGGATTAGAGGCTCAGGATCAGTTCCAGTTAAACCGAGCCCAAAGCAAAGCCCCCCCCCTCCCAAACTCTCGTTCTTTATTGCCAGGAATGTAGCCATTTATTAAAATTAAAAAGCCAACCTGTTCTCTATTATTAATTTTATAATCCTTTCTAACAAATTGTTGAATTTGTTTGTCTTCTGAATTAATAGTAAATGATGATGGCCAGGCCCGTAACCAGGGGGGGGGGGGTGAAAGGGGAATTCCCCCCCCCCGAAATGGGAAAAAGGAAAAAATTTGGGGAAGGGCTGGGGCAAAAAAGTGAATTTTTTTGGCCTACGGCCTTCGAAATTTTCAAAATTTTCGCCTGCGGCGCTAAAAAAGGACGAAATCTGGCTTCTTGAGGTCCAAAATTCAAAAAATTTTCGCCTGCGGCGCTGAAAATCAAATTTTTGGCGCCTGCGGCGCCGAAAAAGTGAATTTTTTTGGCCTACGGCCTTCTAAAATTAAAAAAATTTTCGCCTGCGGCGCTGAAAATAAAAATTTTTGGCGCCTTCGGCGCCAAAAATTTGGCGCAAGCAAATTTCCCCCCCTCGAAAAAAAATCCTAGTTACGGGCCTGATGATGGCCTTTCAGCAAATTTTGATTCTTTTTTAATTAAACTTTTATTTTGTGTATTATCAGCAGTTGAAAATCTGAGAGAAGTAAATATTTTTGGAAAATGTAAAACTGATTTTGAATTAAAATTTGACAACATTTTTTAAACTAAATTTAAGAATTGTAAAATTTAATATTTCTCCATTACGAGCTAGAAATTTCCCTTTATTTGGACCTTTTATGATATTCATAGTTACTGACCATTTTATATATTTCCTAAAAATATTCTTTTAAACGTCGACAGTGGTCTCCCGGACAATGCGTCAGTGGACTATCGGTCAGTGGACAAAACGTTAGTGGGGAATCTGTAAGTGACGTATATCGGAGGATTATGGGATATAGTGGGTAATTTGGAGGGATATCGGAGGAGTTGTGAGGGAGTCTTCGACTTTTTTGTGTTGTCATAAGGACGTGACCATAAGGATGCGGCCGTTAGGGCGTGAGTTAGGGCCCTCGTATGGTTTTTCGCCTTATTGACAAAATATGTTAACACGATGTTATCTTTTTTTTTCAAATGATGATTTTAAAAAAAAAGTCATCATTTTTTTACATTTCTTGTTCAATTTTAAATTTTTAGTAATTTACTGTAAACAAAAATATTTTAGGCTCAAAAAACTTAAATGGCAGCCTCAACAGTTGCTCCACCAATAATTCTTCGTTCAGTTGAGAAGCACACTTCAACGGTTTAAAATTATCTTTTTATTTTTAATTTATCTTTATTTTTAAGCTTATTTTCTTTCACGGATTGGGAGATCAAGGAGATGGCTGGGCAAGTGTTTTTAAAGAAGAAATGCGAGTGCCGTATATAAAGTTTAGTTTTTTAATATTTTTATTTAGAATAAAACCTTTTAAGATATATTTTCCCAAATGCCCAAAGTCGGCCAGTAACTCTAAATTTTGGTATGCGGATGCCTGCATGGTATGATATCCTTGGATTGACTGCTAACTCTGCAGAGGTTTTTTAAGTTTTTTTGATAATAATTTGGTTAATACCAGGGATGTCACGGGCTCATTCTCTATCGAATGAACCCGGTTCGAACGTTTTTAGGTCGGTCACTTCACAACCTTTCCTTATTAACATTCTTGGTCCATACCTCTCTTTTCTGACCATTTAAGCTTTTTATTTAAATTTTTTCATAAAAATAAAAAAGAAACGAAATCTTTATAAAAGAGTCAAAATAAAAAAAATCTCAAAATGGTCAGGAAAATGTGATTATAAAAATATTTTTAAGGACGAGCAAGGCATTGAACTTGCAAAGGATTATGTTCATGGACTGATTAATAAAGAAATTGAAGACGGAATTTCTCCTAAACGTATTTCTATTGGAGGATTTTCAATGGGCGCAGCTTTGGCTTTATATGCAAGTTTATTTTGAAAATGAGTCATACTTGAATTATTGATCTAGTATACAATAGACCAGACCCGTAACTAGGATTTCTTTTCGGGGGCCAGAGGGATCGATCTCGGCGCCAAAAATTTAAAATTTTTGGGAATCTTGGAAGACTTTAGGCTTAAAATTTAATTTTTTGCCCAATTCCCTCCTGAAAATTTTCCCCATTTCGGGGGCCGGGGGCATTACCCAACCGCCCCACCCCTCTGGTTACGGGCCTGAGTCTGACCTCAATTTTATATCCATTGGTACGGAATTTTTTTACCAAAATTGGGTTACCTATTACTCCTGGTATTGCTTTGAAAACAGAGATCGCTTGAGTTCCTCCACTTTTCGTTCACCAATTCCTCCAACTGTAATTCTAAATTATTTTCATGTTAATTTTTTAGGCGGGATTGACTTTCGACAAACCTCTTGGATGTATTATCTCGTTGAGTGGGTATTTAATCCAGAGAAGTAAATTACCAGGGGTAAGGATTCTTTTTAAATATTTTCAAATATTTTTCTTTTATATTTTAGGATCACAAAGCAAATTTGAAAACGCCTGTTTTCCTAGGACATGGGCAAGACGATTTTCTTGTTCCTTATAGCTTTGGTATTTTTTTTAGTTTTTTTGAGGTTTTATTTGCCACCCGCTATCTTTTCCATTATCCGCAAGTTTAATCCGCAAGTCATTTATTAAGATTATTAAGAATATCCTCTGCAATGAACGACCAGTTGTTGTTCCTAGTGCAAATATTAGAGATCGGATAGAGAAGAGATTTCGATCAAAAATTTTCATTTTTTTTTGAGAATCTCTGTTTTTGCGCAACAGTTCCAGTCCGATCTCTACTAAATACTCTCTATTAAAGTCTTCCTTTTTATAAAATTTGTGAGTACAATTTGCTTGTAGACAAAATTTAACTTGCGGACAAAACTTGCGGATTTTTAGGAGCATAAGAAAATAAATTAAATTTTTTTTTAGGTCAACTGACTTATCAGGAAATACATAAATTTAATCCAAACGGTTTTTTTTTATTTTTTTTTTAATTTTTAAAATTTTTTAATTTCAAAGTAACTTTAATTCCTTATCAATGTCAACACGGGACAACTCCACAAGAGCTTGCTGATACTCTTACTTTTATTAAAACAAGCATTCCAGCAGAGGAGAAAAGTTGTGAAAATAAGGAAAAGGTTATTTTTCGATTTTTTAAATAAATTTGTTGAAAAAAATATATTTTTGAGAGGAGAGAAACTTGGAAATTTTCTTTAAAATTCCTTCTTCTAGTTTCCCTTTTAAATTTCCTCCATATTTATTTGAGAAATACAAGTTGCTTCGTGTGATTTAGGAACCAGGGTGGGTTATCTGAAATCCGGACTTTTTTCTCAACCCGACCCTCCCTGGTAGTTACTTTGGAACCACAGAGGTGGTTCCTTCCTATACAAATTTTAATTTTTTTCAATTAAAATCCAATTGCCTTCAAAATCTAGTTTCCTTTGGTTCCCTTTAAATTTCCATATTTTTTAAACAAAATTAGTCTATATCCTCTCTTATATCCATAGGGATTATTATCACAAAAAATTTTTTTTATTTAATTCAAAACTTTTAGTAAAATTCCAGTGTAGTACCAATGAAGAAGATGATTTTTTAAATAAAAATTTTAAACGAAAATCTAAATTGTAATTTTTATATATTTTGAAGAAATTAAAGTTAGTAAGAAAATTATTTATTTTAAAAATTTTGCTTACTAAATTAATTAGATAAAAATTGTTTTTTTGTGTTTTTTTGTTCTTTTTTTAATTTATTAATTTTGAAAATTTTTTTACTTTTTTTTGTCACTTAAAAATTTTTTAATTTTAAATTTTCAAAAATTTTCCCATTTAAAAAATTTTTTCAATGGAATGGAGTCAGAAACTTTCTGCTTTTGAGGTTGTTTTTCTTTTAAAAATTCAAAAAATCTTTTTCAAAGGACCAGGCAATAACACAATTATTAAAGCACATTTATTCTGACAGAACTTCAAAATGTGAAAAGGATTCTATGGCTATTGAAACAATCCAGAAATTTAAAGAAGACAAGTTTTTTAGATGGAAATTGGTATTTTCTGTTTTGGAGGGAAAACAATTGTAAATTTTGGTTTTTTTTAATTTTGCAAATTTTTGGCTTAAGTACGGCGAAAAATAAAATTTTTCGTTCGAATAAAATAGTAAAAGTATACAAAATAAAGAAACGAAATAAATTTCGTCTATGATTTGGATTAAAATTTAAAAAGTTTTGGGTATGTTTAAAATGTCCGCAAGTTTTGTCCGCAAATTATATTTTTTTAATATTTCTTCAAGAAGGTATTTTTTTTGGATATTTTTGAAAATAAATTTTTAAACTTTGCCGATTATTAAAATAAGATACTATTTTTTGAAGAGGAAAATTGAACATGAAAATACTTCATTGTGCTTGTATTCTATTAGGAAATGAACAAACTTCACAACTTTTTGCTCAATTTATTCATGCTGCCAAAGACGAAAAAGAGGTTTTTTTTATTAACATTTCTTTGTGTGTTTGTAGAAATCATATTTTCACAATTTTCTTCGAATCTAGTTCGGGATTAAAAAAGAGGGTGTCTGGTAACCTGTCTGTCCATTTCTGACACCCTCCCCCCTCCCCCTTCCCATTATAGTCTCCTGAAACCCGGCCCCTGTATACATCCCGAGTTAGTCAATAAAAGGTAAAATCCTGATCTTGGTTATTTCTTCAAATATTGCTTTGTGCAATTTAATTAATCTGTAGAATCAGAGTAACATTCTTCACTAGTCACCCTTTTATTTAATTAAAAAAATTTTTTTTCCCAAAAGTTGACCAATTTTCTTTCATTTGCTTTAACTGTTATTCCTCATTTAAATCAAAATCAACGTGTAAATTCACTTAGTGTAATGACTTTAGCTGTTCGTTTTGCTGTTTTGGATTCAAAGAAAATAGAAAATGAATTGACTGAATTTTTGGAAGAAAAAAAAGAAATTGTAGTGGAAAATGAAAATAAAATAAGTTTGGAAAGAAATTTGTTAAATAATTTATTAATGATTGTTAAATGGAATGAACAGAGTGAACAAGGAATGATTTTGAGAAATATTGGGTTTGGAATTAATTTTTAATTAAAATTTGGGGGAAATTGTGATATTTTTTGGGAGTTTTTATTTTTTCGAATAAATATACATAAAAATCTTTTTAAATTTTTAACAGAAAATACAAGAAATGCCAAAAAATTCTTTTTATTTAATTTTTTAGTTTAAATCTTGCTGACATTCGTGGCTATCTTCAAGAAGGCCTTCTTAATTGGATGTTAGATTATACCGATCTTGTAAGAAAAATTACTGGGGGGACTTTGAATGAGGTTTGCAAATTTTTACTTTATTTTTAGAGGGGAGGGTGTTTCCTTTATATTTCTAGAAATACCAAAATTTTATCTGTAATTATTTTATTTTAATCGTCTTACAATCAACTCTCTAATTTCAAAATTTTAGCCTTTTTTTATTTTAATTTTTAAATTTTTTGGTTACTTTAAATATAAATATACATTGAATACCCAATATTTAAGCATTCTAAAAAAATTTTTTAATCAAATTAATTTTTTAAAGGAAGCAGCTCAAGTATTAAACACATTCTTTACCTTAATGCTTTCTGTAGTTCCTCAAGTCCAACTTCCTTTAAATTTTCAAAATAATTTGTTGACTAAATTGAGTGCTTTAATTGTTTCAATGTTAAAATTTATTAAAAAAGGTTTTTTTAATTTAAAAAAATTATTTTTTTTTTCCTAATTAAAAAAAAAGAAAAATTGGGGACGTCTTTGGATGGTGTTGATTACTTTGCACGTTGCTGTACTATTGCTGGACGTATTTTTATTAAACAAACGGGTGCTGATCCAACACAATTGATGCGTTCTTTAATGGATGAAATTTTTGAGGTTTTTTTGTTTTGAAAATTTTTTGATCCCTCGTCCTGTCCTTTTATTTCAAAAGATATGGATTAAAAAAGTATATTGTCTTTGGGTTGTTCGATGACACAGTGATCGTGCTCTGTATCTCGTCCTTTCTCTATGGAGGACTGAAAATTTTTATGCGACTATGGGCCGAGATACAGAGCTTGAATATTGAAAAACTATAGGCGGACAAAGCAAGCTTTTTGGTTTTTCGACTCGGCTCATCAGGTCGAGTCGAATGGTACCAAAATCTCGAACAAGTTTCGACAGTTACGATACAAAAAACAAACAACGTAATTATAGGCGTCGGCGGAACGTTTTGCAAAAGCCAGCACTTCGCGCTGGCTTTTTAACTTAATTAACTGGGTTTAATTTAATTTCTAACGGCTTAACCCTTAGAAATTTTCAAACTTTTGGCTTAGAGTCTTAAATCAAAATTAAATATGTACGATTATTTCGTTCCTAAATTATAAATTTTTTTATTTAGAGTTATCAAGAATTGTTTGATTCTGATTGCTGTGGAAGTAACGAATCAAGTCGACATATTGGCGCATTTTTGGATTATTCGAAATTTAAAACGATTAATTTTTTAAATAAAAATTACGAGGTTTTTTTTTAACTTTTTTATGAGTTCTTTTTCAAATGTCCGAAAATTTTTTGCGGGCTTCTGAATATATTTACGGGGTTTTGGGAGCAGAAGGAAAAGAGAACCTTAATTTAAAAACTTTTTTTTATTAGCATTCAATATTTCAAGAACTTCGACAGGCTTCTTTAACAGACAGAACAGCAGCAGCTGTAGCCCATTCTGGCACTTTAAATCGTAAAAGATTTTTAGAAAAATTTGTAGAGAATAAGGAAGGAAAAGAAGAAGAAAATGCTGAAATTAAAATTAATCAAATTAGAAGACTTTTATTTTTGGATTTTATTGAATGTTTATGTCTTTCTGCAAGGCCTTCAACGACAAAACCTTCTCCTCCTTCAACAACAGAACAACAAATGCAACAATTTTATGATTTGGGAATGTGCAGATTTTTGGTTGGTTTTTTATTTTTTAGAGTTTTTTACGAACATTTTTAGGGTCAATTACTTGTGGATAGATTTGCAGGTGATGGACTTACCTCACATTTTTGTTGGCATAGTTGGGAGCAAGAAAGAGAATTGGTTTCACAGTTAGTTTATTTCCTGTTTGTATAAAAAGGGGACTATAAAGAAAAATCAGTTAGAAAAATACTCCCTTTATCCACCTTTTATTTTTTCAAATGGTTCATATCAGCTTTTTCCCCATGTTTTGAAGCCTTTTCCTCTTAGGTCTCTGGACACCTCCATATTGCTCCCAATAAATTTGTAGGCAAAACGTGTGTTTTGCCACCACTCAATTTTTTCTAATTTTTAAAGATATACAAAAATAACAAAAATTATCGACCAACACCCAATTATTGTCGATTTCCTACTTTTATTATCAGAACTTGGATTTACTGGATTATGTTCTGTTCTTCCATTATTTAAAGCTTTATTTGTTACAGTTTTGAGTCAATTAGAAAATACTCCATTAAAAACAGAAAAAATTTCTTTTGCTTTTTTACAAAGGTCGACTCAATTAATTGGACTTTTTATTTGTGTAAATTTTTAGTTTTTAAAGTTTTTAGTGTTTGTGAAGATTGTGAGGTGCGGATTATTTTTGTGGACGTTTTTGTTGTTTTTTGCTGACTTTTCCACAATTTCTTTTAAGTTTTGCCTTTTCAATTCGAGCAATGGGAAGGTTTTATTTATTTTCCATTTCCGCAAAAATATTCCGCAAGCACATTACAACTTTACAAATGCAAAAAATTAAATAATCAAATTAATTTTACTTTTATAAAGGCTGACATTTTCCCTCAAATTTTGTCAAATTTTCAAAAAATCTTATCTAATTCAACCAATTTTGAAGCTTTTGTTTTAATGAGGGATTTATGGGATTTTTTAAAGGTTTTTTTTATTTTAAATATTAAAAAAAATTTTTTATTTAAGTTGTTAATTCCAACGTGTGAAGAAATTACTAAAGGAAAAATGATTAGTGTTGAAAATAGGGCTGTTTTGGAGAAGGTTTTTGTTTAAAAAAATAATATCCCCCACAACGTGTAAATCTAAATGAGAATTTACCCGCTGAACCAGACTTTACCTTCTGTCTGCAAAAGTCCTATTATTTAGCCATAATTTTTTAAATTTTCGACCGATTCAAATAATTTTTAAGCCGATTGAAAGCTCTGAATTTACTAAAAGGATTGATCAATTTAGGAAAAGTTACAGGCCGATAAATTACAGAAAATCACGACTGCGCGCACATTTCCGCCTTGAACTTTTTTGCGGTACATATCTAATAAAATCAGTTCTTTTTGAAAAATAATCGGTACTTACATAAGTACCAAATAATTTGCATATTTGGAGCTTTAGTTTACTGCTATTTGTTATGGGATCGAAAATCTCTCCTTCTTTCTATTATTTTTAAAATTTTAGAAAGAAGGGAAACAATTAATTTCATCAATGGTTTTGGTTATTCAAAGAAATATTTCTTTATTGGGAGAATATTTATATCCAATTTTGGAATTAATTGGTGAAAATGATGAAAATAATTGGGAAATTGAAAGAGAACAAAAACCAATTTCTGTTTTGGCTGAGATTAAAAGATTTTAAATTAAAAATTGTTTGTTTGTCGTTTTTATCAAAGGTTTTTTTTTAATTTTTTTAAAACTTTGTTATATCAAGCAAGGGTTGGCTCCGTCCCTGAAAGTCGGGAAATTTGGCGGGGACCAAGATTAGTCTCTTTGTAGTGACTGGACATGTGTTATATGGACCTAGAGATTAACCCTTCTTTTCGAAGATCTCTTGTTTCGAAACATCATTGTGCCTATTTTTTCTGGGCTTTGTGTAATAGATTCCAAGATTCAGCCTATCTCAATAAAACCGAATCTAGGCTCAGAATTTTTAAAAAAAACTCGATTTTTAGATTATCCTATTTTTATGTATAATCAAAATGAAAATTAATTTATTAACAAAAAATAAATTATTTATTAGAATAAATTTATTTTTTTTTATTATTGACGTCTAAAAACTGCTGAACGTGTAGGACATGGACAATAGGCTGAAAAATATTTTTTAGTTTTAAAATTTTTTTTTCAAATTTTTAATTATTTTATACCAGCATCACTTCCAGGCAATCCATCTGACCCAGGCGCGCCAACCTTTCCTGGTATTCCGGGTAATCCTGGAGCTCCAAGCTGACCCGGCGGGCCTGCAGGGCCTGTCTCTCCATTTTTACCTGACAAATTTAATAAAAGTTTCGTTTACAAATTAATTGTACCATTTTCTCCGGGTGCTCCATCTTTGCCTGGCTGGCCTGGGCCTCCTGGAAGACCCTTTGGACCGGGCTGAAAAGATTTTTTTGAAGATTGTAACTTAAAAATAATTTCTTTTACCAATGCCGGACTGTGTTCTGCATCACTTCCAGGCGTTCCCGGCGTTCCCGGATTTCCTTTTTCGCCAGGAGGGCCTTGATCTCCTGGCGGGCCTTGTTCTCCAGGCTTTCCTTGAGGTGCAGGTGGGCCTGCTGCTCCAGCTTCTCCTGTTTGACCTGACGAGCCTAACGGTCCGATTGGACCTTTAAAAGTATTTTTTTAGATTTTTTTCATTTTATTGGCAACCCTGTTCGCCAGGTGGCCCAGCTGGGCATTCAATACATTTTGACACATCAGGCGCCTCGCATTTTACTTGTGGGTAAACCTGTGTATTATCTTCTCCATTAGGTCCAGGCTCTCCAGGTGGTCCGTCTGTGCCTGGTTCGCCGGGAGGACCTTCTGGTCCTGGAGGGCATTCGGGTTTGGTGGGTTCACATTGGCACCTGGTTAATATTAAAATTATTTTTTAGCGAACAAATATCAATTGAGATGTTCCTTTACACTACAAAAAAGTTACATTCTGTAGTTCCCTTCGCACTACAGAATGTTCCCTTCCTACTACTACATATATGACATTCCCTTCACACTACAAATGTCCCTTCACTCTAAAAACCTTCACATTACCAAGCAGGCAATTTTCCATAATTTTGTCGTTTTGCCCTTTGAAAAATACTTTCAAAAGGATTTTCTTCTCTAACATTAACAGATTGAGGTTTATGACGTATTTGTATATCAATTAATAAATTCCAAGCAGAATCAGTTTCAACTTTAAATATTTCAACTCCCCCTTTTACTTCATTCAATAAATTTGTTGTTTCAAAATAAATTTGTGGAAAAATAAAAATACAAGCCAAAATTGACAAAATACTTGCAAAGGTTGAACAATAAACTAGCAATTGGATATTCTTTATATTTGTGGACATCTTTCAAAATAAGAGAATTTCTTCAAACAAATAAAAATGAAATAGTAGCTACTTAATATCTGCTAATTTATATTCAAATTTTTTTCTTTTCTCGGCTTCCCTTTTTCTTTTAGTTTTTCCAGTTTTTTACGGAATGATCTGTTTTTGAGATAATTGAAAGTTATTTGAAGACTTTAAGGCGGGAATTGAGCTTTCGTGTGTACTCTGAGTATTTTTCATTGCTAGTTGTTCTCAAATGTCGTCCCTCTGATAATGTTCTCAAATGTCGTCTCTTGGTATTTCCTTATTGTGAAGGCTGTCATAGCCATTTCTGTCTTAGTATAGCCATTTCAATTTGGGCTTAACTTTTTTGATTCTTAACCGATTTAAATAATTCATATACCAATCGAAAGCTCTGTATGTAGGATTATTTTAGCTAACAAAATTGATTTGATCAGACCATTCTATAAAAGTTACCGCCGAATAAAGATAAAAAATCACGGTTGCGGCGCCTTTACGGTTACAACTTTATGCAGAATATCTGGTCAGAACAATCCATTTAGCTAAAATAATCCTCATATCCAGAGCCTTCGAATAAAATAATAATTATTTAAATCGGTTAAGATTTAAAAATAGTTATGACCTAAAATGTGTACCTGAGACAATGTTTCCCTACCCTTTTTTGCTATGTCGTTTGAGGATTGGGATTTAAATATTATTATTCTATTTATTTTCTTTTTCATTAAGTAAATAAATAAATAAAAACTTGTTATTTATTTTTAATAAGATAAAATCTCTGTTTTGTAAAAAGCGAGGGAAATAAATAATTTAATAATAAAAAAATAATAAAAATTAATTTGAGTAAAAAACAAATTACATAGGTATTTATTGTTAAAAATGTAATAAATATAGAAAATAATTTGTTTTGTTAACTGAAACCAGAAAAAGTTTTTCTAAAAAATTTTTTTAATATTTATGTAATTTTTTATAGATACTACATACTAGATTTAGTGAACACAACTGATCGTCCGCAAATGTCGTCTCTTATTGTTGTTCGCAAATGTTGTCCTTGTTTGTTCGCAAATGTCGTCCTTTGCCTGATGTCCGCAAAAGTCAAATAAAGAGTTGCAAGAGTTGCAAAACCTTTTGAACCTTTTAAATTCATTTTAACATCTTTTAAATTTTTTAAAAATATTTTCAAGTATTTTATCCTCATTATTTTCCTTTTTTCTTTTAATGGATTGAAAAGCTTTTTAATGTTTTTTTGACAATTTCGCGCAACAAACAAATGGAATTTATTTTTTTGTGTCATTCAATCATTTTTTAATACAAGGAGGCGTTCTTATATTGCCTGTAATTGTATGCAATAGAGCGGAATGAAAATAAAAATATATAAATGGTTAAATAATAAGCTTGTTTATTAAACATTTTTATTTTTAAAAGGATTTTTAATTTTGTAGAAAACCAAATCCGAAAAAAATTCTGTCCGCAAATGTCGTATCTCAGGTTGCGATCGCAAATGTTGTCCCTTAGTTTATATCCGCAAATGTAAAATTACATCCACTAACATTAGTGGACATCCCAGAAAATGTTAAGGATGAACCTCTCTATAATAATGTGGTTACATTCAGTATAAGATACTTAAGGGGGTGTATCTACATATATGTGTTTTTAAAAGGTAACTTTTAATTTCCCCCTTTTCTACATAGATGTCTAATAACAACACAAAAAATAACGATAAACTAAAGAATATCCAATTGCTAGTTTATTGTTCAACCTTTGCAAGTATTTTGTCAATTTTGGCTTGTATTTTTATTTTTCCACAAATTTATTTTGAAACAACAAATTTATTGAATGAAGTAAAAGGGGGAGTTGAAATATTTAAAGTTGAAACTGATTCTGCTTGGAATTTATTAATTGATATACAAATACGTCATAAACCTCAATCTGTTAATGTTAGAGAAGAAAATCCTTTTGAAAGTATTTTTCAAAGGGCAAAACGACAAAATTATGGAAAATTGCCTGCTTGGTAATGTGAAGGGAACACCCTGTAGTATGAAGGGAACATTTTGTAGTGCGAAAGGAACATTCTGTAGTGTGAATGGAGCATAAAGGAACATCTCGATTAATCTCAATTAATTAATATTTTTGAGATTCGATTATTGATGTTTACTCACAGAAATTAGAGATGGATATCCGCGGATCATATCCTCCGTAAAGGGAACACTTTGACTTAGTAATGTAAGGGAACTTCTTAAGGCCAATTAATTGTCCTTTAAAAACCAACTATTTGTTCCTTAAAATTTTGTTCTCTATAAAACAATTAACCTTTTAATTTCATTTAATTCAACTTAAAAGGTGTCAATGTGAACCAACCAAACCAAAATGCCCTCCTGGACCTCCAGGCCCTCCAGGCGAACCAGGACAGAACGGAGAACCAGGACAACCTGGCCCTGCAGGAAAGGACAATACAAAGGCTTATTCTCAAGTTTCATGCCCCAAACCCAGCACAGCTTGCATTAAATGCCCTGCAGGCCCTCAAGGACCTCAGGGACCTGTTGGGCCGGAAGGTAAACCTGGCCAAGCTGGAAAGCCAGGAACTCCCGGAAGCAAGGCTCAAAATGGAAAGGCTGGTCCTAGAGGTTTGTGTTAAGATTCTTTTCTTTTAGTCTTAAAAAATTCCGCGAGATTTTTGTGGATAGAAATTGCGGACTTTCGGTAGCAGAAAGGAATAGTTAATATTCTAAAGCATATAGCTATT